AATATGGATTCGGATTTCGGATATCTTAAAATGCGACTCGTACGGTGCGTCTGTAACATGCAAGGTCTGTAACATGAAAGAAGATGTTCGAATTATGGAATGTTTTCGGAAAAATCAAAAAATATTTTTAATATACAGCTGCTGGATTTTTTGTCTTATTTAAATAATTTAATTTTGCCCACAGATGACTGATGCCATGTCCGAATCTAAAAAGAAATGTAGACAGTACATTGTCGATTATTTGAAATTTGGCTTCATTCCATCATTGCCGGACAAACAATTGCCTATGTGCCTTTTATGCAACAAAGTTTTGGGCAATGACGCTATGAAACCATCTAAACTGCAAGATCATCTGAGAAGATGCCACCCTGATAAAACAGAGAAAGATTTGAAATACTTTCAAACACTCAAAGATAAACTTCAGAAGAGACCTACACTGGACAGAATGTTCGCTTCGACGTGACAAAGAAATGATGATGGTTTGCGGGCGTCTTACAATATCTCGTTACTTATAGCAAAATCCGGAAAACCGCATACTATCGGAGAGAAGTTAATTTTGCCAGCCGTTGAAGAGGTTTTAAAAACTGTTTTACACAAACCTGCACCTGATATCATTAAAAGAATTCCCTTAAGCAACAATACTATTGAAAGACTTATTCATGAAATGAGTTCTGATATTGAAAGCTTCTTATGTAATTATTTGCAAACGACCCATTTCTCTATACAACTGGACGAGTCAACTTTACCTCATAATGCAGCATTATTATTGGCATATGTTCGTTTTATTATGAATCAAGAAATCTACGAAGAACTGCTCTTCGCAAGAACTTTGATAACCGACACTAAAGGTGAATCAGTATTTCATGTTTTGAAGGATTACTTCATTAAAAAAGCAATTCCTTTATCAAATATAATATCAGTAGCTACAGATGGAACACCTGCCAGGGTTGGACGTTATCGTGGATTTATAAGCTATTTAAAACAAAATGTGTCAGGGGTGTTAGCAATACATTGCGTCATTCATCGACAACATTTAGTTGTAAAAAATTTGAGTGTTAGATTGCATGAATCACTTCATTTAGTCATTGATGCAGTAAATCGAATCCGAAGCAACGCGTTGAATACGCGGTTATTTGTGCAGTTGTGTAAAGAAAATGACGAACACTTTCATCAATTACTCCTTCACACTGAAGTACGCTGGCTGTCGAAAGGCTTATGTTTGATAAGATTTTTTGCACTTTTTGAGATTATTTTAGAATTTCTGGATACTAAAGATAAAATTTTAAACGAAAATTTAATGAAGAGGAAAACAGACATCGTCTATTTAACAGATTTGTTTACAAAATTTAATATGGTTAATTTGCAATTACAAGGTGACAGTTTAAATTTGATTAAAACAAAGTCCATCTTTGTCAGCGTTTCTTGCCAGAGTTGAACTAATGAAGCAAAATATTGGACGGGGCGAATTTTCTCAGTTCCCCTTTGTCACAGACAAGCTGCCAGGAAGACGACGTTTCAACTTACGTTCAACATTTAAATGCCCTCTATTCAGATTTTGAATCTAGGTTTGAGGATATTTTGACTATGGTAATACCACCGTGGATAATTAATCCATGGTGACATAGAAGAAACAAATGTCATAATACAAGAGGAACTGACTGATCTAAGTACAAACGAAGAACTTAAGGTTCAGGTTAAAAACGGATATCAGCAATTCTGGCTGCAAAACAACATACCCGTTACTTATACCGTATTATGGAATATAGCGAGGAAATTTTTAATTTCCTTCCCATGTAACCTAGTGGAAAGGGGGTTCAGCGCTGTTACCAATCTCCTAACGAAAAAAAGAAACAGACTGGGCATCATTAGCCGAGGAGATTTAAGATTAACCCTTTCAAAATTGACGCCCAATGTTGATAATTTATTATTAAAGCATCAGGTTCATCCTTCTCACTAAAAATATTGACTTATTGCTTATGTTATTTTATTTATAGTTTATTTTATGTTTATTTAATGTTACGTATATTTTACATAACAGATACAAAATTTTATTTTGAGTAGTTTTAATTTAAATTCAATTAATAAATGTATAAATTAACATGTGTTGTTTTTACTTTAAGTTTTTAACACTAAACTTCACTACAGTTAGAAATTTACAGGAAATCAATATCAGGTAAGTAGGGGGTCTACCCAACACGGAAAAACATGGCAAGGGGTCTACGACACAAAAAAGTTTGGGGAACTCTGTTTTATATGATTTCATACGACGAATTCTAAAATGCGGCGCGTATGGTGCTGAAAAATGTGCGTTCACCTTTAACCCAGACAGACAATCGTTATTTTTAATGTTGAGGTATTGCTGTAAAATTTATGATAATATAAACCGAATATCAAATAAAATTATACAATTTGCTATTTCTCATGTCGCTTTTGAACGGTATTAAAATGAAATAACGCTAAATGTATTTCAATTTTTTTTTTATTTTATTTCCGCTGATCTATTATCCTAAATTACTGGGGCAATAAAACAAGTACACATACCTGATTGTAACCTATACGTGAGGACTGGTGACCTGTACTCCTGTTTCTCACATTATCTGGTTTATATCCGAAATTGTTTTAAAGTTTGATTCAAACTGCGTAGTTTCGAATTTTATTTAAAAGTTACTGCCTAATCAAAGAGTAATAGCGATCAAAAGTTCGAAGTTCGAATCCGTTCGAGTGGCCGTTAGGCAAAACCGGATATATTTTAATTCGGAGATAATTTTTAAATAGAAAACTAACTTCATAAACATTTTTTTTTACTTAATTGGTAAGACTAAGGCCTCTGCCTCGAATCTTGCGGGCAGCGGAGCGACGGCGACGGCGGCGCGGGAGCGGGGCGGGCAACGCAGACCCGTTCACGAAACTAGCGGGCAGATCGCGCGACACTATAGCGGCGTAGTGATGTGTTCATGGTTGTATTGTCGAGATGTTTGTTTTTATTTGCGAACGAAATGTCTCAACAACGGTGACAACATCTTTTTGATTCAAATTTATTTCTAACGCTCGATTTACTGTGGGCAAAAGAAGAAGTGAATCCCTACTACTTATAGGGCAAGGAAAAAAAAGCCGAGTTTTATCGAAATTACGAAGAACAGAGACAATGTCCTGACAAATTCTACGACTACATCAGAATGAGCGTAGAAACTTTTGACTATATTATTGAAGCTATCAAGGGCGATTTAGATTCAGTTCGTTTTTAATTTCTTCCCATAACTGGTTAATTACTCTTCTATTTTTATGGTTCACATCTTTGCTGTTCCATATCGGTGTTCTCTCAAAAATTGCTGAAATAATTTGCTCTTGCACGTCCGAGGACATTTCGAAACGTCACAAAAATTAATTGCACAACACTGCAATGCAGACAGACGCGCGGGCGGTCACCGCTTGACTGGAGTACACCGCTCGTTACCCGCCTCCGCGCCGCTGCCAAGCCGCTGTTTTCGAGAGTCGGTCCATTTGATTTTACGCATAAGATCCTGCCGCTCCCGCGCCGCCGCCGCTGCCGTCCCGCTGCCCGCAAGATTCGAGGCAGAGGCCTAACTCAACAAGAAAAAATTTTCTCGTCGCTTGCGATTACGAGCGTCATCTAGCGGTTTCACTTCCGTTTTCGTAATTCCGATTTGAACTACGGGTTCAAAAGTACGAAATTATCTTGAGTTTGAAAAAAATAAGATTAATTCAGAACTGAAATTCATCGGGAGTAGATTGCTGTAATTTTTACTTAGGTACATTATTACTGTAAACAATCCAGCGAGTTGGTCTAGAAACAAAAAAGAATAGTTTCCGACCAATTTTAAACGGAGATTTTCCGTACTTTCGTCTACTAACGGTGAAGAATAAGGGCTTAGTTTTAAATATACGTCCGACCTTGTTTATCTTAGTAATAAAGGTAAAACAATAAAATTTAAATCAACATATAAAATTAGATTAACTGATCCGTTGGGTAAAGTCGGTTACTCTATTTCTACTGCGGATATAATTTCAGTCAATCCCGTAAAAAAAACCTCCAAGCATAGCCCTCTTCGGAGCTTAAGCTTCCTTAACCGGCCTACAGTAACAAGTGGCATTGGGCCGGTCATATAGTTCGAAGAGCTATAAACCGATGGGGAAGAAACGTTCTCGAGTGGCGCCTTCTACCAGAAAGCCAAGTCGATGGATGTAATTGGCTCATGGTCGTGCTTTGGCCATTCCTTGGGGGAAGAATATGTTCAGCATTCGACTTTTATATGGCCATAGAATACTATAATACATACATAATAGAACGAGGGAGTGGGCGGAGCCCGTGTAGCCACTAAAATGTCACTAACATGTCAATTCACACGTATAAATGTCAACACGAGATGTGTTTTGACGTAACAATCGTTTCCACATTTCGCATGTAAATTATTTAGAAAATACCAAATTGCACACTATTTACATACAAATATGTATTAAAATTTAAACGATTTTTTAATGAAGATTTTGAACATTAATCAAAAGTCTAAAACGTGAAAATTACTCAGTCTGTCAAAACAGCAAATCGGGTTTGTAGTAGTTATAATACGACGTAATTGCTTGTATGTGTGCTCTCGGCGAGTCTCGTACAAAATAAGTTTGACTGCCATTCTATTTAATTGTGTATTATAGTATTCTATGTGTATGACTGTGACAATGACTGTTGTAACAATTTTCTATGGAGTTGTAGCTGCGCAATCGTTTGAAAAGTCAGTTGAGCAACAAAGTTGCCAGTGGTTGGAAATTTCAACTACTCTCAATGGAATTATAGAACAAATCATACAGTTTGGAGATGCCCATTGACGTAATTAATGATGATCATACTAAAGCTAAAGGTGTTAGGGACAAATACAAATAAGTTATAATTTTTCTCTGTAACATCATGTATATTAGAAACGTTTAACACATGTATATTGGGAACATCAAAAAATTTTAAGGCAAAAGTCAACACGATTAAAAATTTAGCTCATACTTAATTCTATCCTTTTTTGTGATATGCTTAGCGCTTTTTTAATTTCTCGACCCAGTGCAGCTCCAAGAGGTGGTGGTACAGCGTTTCCAATCTAGAAGTTAAAAGCAAATTTATGTATAATTTGTAGAATATCAGCCAAATATAAGAAATATGTACATTTTGACAGCTGCCAGACTTATTGCGCCAAGCATGCCAACCAAAAACGGGAACGTACAATATTCGATTCTTAAAAAAAATCGATATTATATTATTTATAGTTGGTAATCATTTACAGTTTGGTTTGAATAATACCGAAATAAATTAAAAACGGATAATTTAAAACACAAGATTTATCAGTTTCTTTGTATTTACACAATTTAACAAAAGCGTTTCAAGCTTACCAGGAGTGGTTAAAAGGAATATTAGTAATGATAATTAAAAAGGTTACTAATATAAAAAACAACACAAAATTACGCACAGTAAGCTCTAGAAATGGCGGGAGATTGAAATTACGTAGTGGTTTTTTGCGCGGCCTTGTATATGAATTTTTGCACACACAAATTTACGTTGACAAATTAAAAAAAAAATAACTTGTTTTATTCATGATTCATGTAATTTAAGGAATTTAAAAAAATTATTAAACAAATAATACATTAAAATATTAATGGTGTTTTATTTGAATAGTTTTTACCGCTTATTTTAATATTTTTATCGACTATTCGCATATATGAATTTTAATCATCTAAACACAACGGTAAGGTATATAGCGACATATCATTGAAACGACGTCAAGTAAAAACGTTGATACTGGTTATTTTATAAATATTTTGGTTTGTTTGAAAGACTCGAATTTAAATTAGTGATAAAAAATTATAAACGTTGTAATGAAATATAAGATTTACGTAAAAGCTTATTTTAAATCGTGTGAGTACGCTTGTGCAAAGTTATTGCGAAATGATTAATGTGAAACGTCAAAAGGTATTTCTTATATTTGGTTGACTATAAGGTCTCAGTACTTTTCATACGATTTTTTGTTCAAAAATTTATAGTAGTTCCATATCACCCTGTTGATGTCGTAAGAGGCGACAGAAGGAAACAGTAACAGGGGATGGGCAGCAGTATCTTCTCCATGTGAGCCATAGGGTGACTTATGCTACGCTTGGCCGGCGGGTAGGTGAATTTAGTTTTTTATTTATTATTTTTGGTTTTGTGAAGGTCTGTTTTCAGCAGTAGACTTTCGATGGTCTGTATGAATGTATATATATATATATATATATATATATATATATATATATATATATATATATTCATACAGATCGATATATATATATAGGATGTCAGTGTAAACACCGTTGTCCTTGAAACCAGTGGTTTGTTTTCACTTATAGAACGTAAATTCAATGAATTTAAAAAAAACATAAAAGAAAATAGCGTTTGCTTTCATAAAATTAAAAAGTTTCTGTCCGACACCGTCCGTAAATTCATGGATACCCCATGCGCCCTAGTGACGTAATCACTGTATAAATCACCGCCCGCGCTAGCTACCTACACAACATTCAACATAAAAACACAACAGGTACACATAACCTTCGATGTAACTTTTCCTTCATACTTTCATCCTGGCTTAGGACAAGCAAAAATTGAGGAATTTAGGAAAAATTGAGATTTTATTTAAAAAAATGTTATTTTTCATTGAAGTTACGTTCTATAAGTGAAACCAAACCACTGGTTTCAAGGACAACGGTGTTTACACTAACAGCCTGTATATATATATATATATATATCATCGGGTTAGTTGCATGCCATTAATACAGGAATAACCATTCTTGGATTTTTTGTCTAATCTGTCTGCCTGTCCAAGTTAATCTTCGAAATGGCTGAGCCCATTGTAATGAGACTTTACGAACACAAGAGCAAAGTAAAGAGTGATCTAAGTTACATTTTATCCGAAATACTTGGGGAGTTTTTTGAGACAATGAAAAATTTATAAAATAATTGGTCTTTGATTATCTTAAAACTAATCAACGCCACATCAATGGGTCCAGGCGAAGTCAGGGCGGCTCGCTAGTTGGGAAATAAATACATAATAAACATTTTGTTCCGTGAACAATTTTTAATTGTATTTGGACTGTGTAAGCAGTGAATGGGGCACTGGAGTCAGCAGCCTCGAGGGAAGCCGGTTGACCAAGCTGGTTAATAAAGCTGCTAGCTGCTTAAGAAACGGCTCCGTGACGCAATAGCTTGGCATTTAATTGCGGCGGTGAGGGTCACGGGTTCGAATCCTGCACGGAGCAAGTATGACCCACAAATAATAATTGTTACGGGTGTAAATTTTTTTCCTTGTGCAATTTATGTTTGTAAACTGCTTCTAAGACACAGAAGAAAATTCTAGCGTGGGGTTAACGTTTTTTTTCTTTGGTAATGGCTCGTACTTTTATTAAGGAATTCCGTCCTGAATCTTAGCTACTCATCAGATCATATGCATAATCTTCAAATATAATAGGAAACACTGTATACTGTATTCTATCTCTTTCTCTCGCAGGTTAAATTTCTTTTTTATAAAATAAGAGTGACAAACGAGCACACAGTCCACTTCATGGTAAATATATGTGTATCTACTACTACATTCTACCTTCGCCATAGGAAACACAGCAGGATTAAGATGTCATTTTACTCTGGTATCCTGTGAGAGCGTCGTCCCATCCCGGTAGGGAGGACCCATTCGTGCTCCAACAATAACATAGCTGCAGCGTGGCTTTACCACGTACCACGTCCTATGTCCTTAAGACACTAAAAAGAGACACTCTCTTTTTAGTGTTACTTTATCGTCTCACCGAGTTTCAAATAAAGCATTTTAAAGAAACTTTCATGACGATTTCTTATATTTACGCGAACACTGATTAAAACCATAAAAGTAGTTTTAAACATTGACTGACGTCCCGATGTTAGTGTCAACCCGGACTACCTTCAGATTTTTAATTATTATTCATGATCCGATCTACGCAGAATGAACTTACTGTGTCTTGAAGTCTTGAAGGTATGCTTGAGTTTAGTTATTTTATTAATTACAGGCAGGCAAGCAGGTGGTAATACCCAGCCTTCTTCTGTATTGAAATTAGGATGTTTTGTTTTAATTTCAATAGCATATCATCCTTGGTAGGGATCGATGCTCTTTCGCGAGGATTTGTAGTCTATCGAATCTAGTGTAATGGCCCCGCCGTCTAGGATATGATCACAAACTGCACACTTTCCGGAACTTTGGTGCTTCATGTCAGCTATTGAAATCAACTAAAGAAATTTTCAGTTAAATAAGTGAATAAGTGCAGTGCTTTGGACTCACCTGGCGGTGCTTGTCCTGCACGGAGCCGGCGAACACGTAGGCGTCGCGGAAGCCCTGCGAGCGCGCGCACTCGCGCACCGACACTACGCGGTGCTGCTCGGGGTGCAGCACGCGGCCCTGCTTGCCCATGGGCTCGGGGTCCGTCACCGTCGTGCTGAAGTACCCGTCCCACGACACGCGCCCTGCAGCGAACAAACACTTTTTTATCAACTTCAAATAAAAGGTCCGCAATTCGACTGTTTTTTCTATTTGTGTTATCTCATAACTTTCTTCTAGGTGAACCAATTTTAATGTTTTTATGTCTTCCCTGTGTGTGTGTGTGTGTGTGTGTGTGTGTGTGTGTGTGTGTGCGTGCGTGCGTGCGTGCTGCGTGCGTGCGTGCGTGCGTGTGTGTGTGTTCTCAAGTCGCTTTTGAACGGTATTAAAATGAAATAACGCTAAATGTATTTCGAAAAATTTAAATGCTCTCTATTTTTATTTTATTTCCGCTGATCTATTATCCTAAATTACTGGGACAATAAAACAAGTACACATACCTGATTGTAACCTATACGTGAGGACTGGTGACCTGTACTCCTGTTTCTCACATTATCTGGTTTATATCCGAAATTGTTTTAGAGTTTGATTCAAACTGCGTTGTTTCGAATTTTATTTAAGTTACTGCCGAATCAAAGAGTAATAGCGATCAAAAGTTCGAAGTTCGAATCCGTTCGAGTGGCCGTGTGGCAAAACCGGATATATTTTAATTCGGAGATAATTTTTAAATAGAAAACTAACTTCATAAACATTTTTTTTACTTAATTGGTAAGACTAACTCAACAAGAAAAAACATTCTCGTCGCTTGCGATTACGAGCGTCATCTAGCGGTTTCACTTCCGTTTTCGTAATTCCGATTTGAACTACGGGTTCAAAAGTACGAAATTATCTTGAGTTTGAAAGAAATAAGATTAATTCAGAACTGAAATTCATCGGGAGTAGATTGCTGTAATTTTTATTTAGGTACATTATTACTGTAAACAATCCAGCGAGTTGGTCTAGAAAAAAAAGAATAGTTTCTGACCTATTTTAAACCGACATTTTCCGTACTTTCGTCTAATAACGGTGAAGAATAAGGGCTGAGTTTTAAATATACGTCCGACCTTGTTTATTTTAGTAATAAAGGTAAAACAATAAAATTTAAATTAAACTAATTGCACTCATGATTTTTTATTCAAATAACCAGTTCAGTTTTTTCTATTATATCAATAAGATGAAAAATATTATTCATGTTTCATCACTATGTAATTTGTATTTAAATATAATTTCCAAAACACGTGATTGCCAAAAAAATACCGAGGAAACCTCGGTCATCCAGGTGCTTTAAAATAAAGTCACCGCCGGGGCTACATGAGTATATAAATACTACTTTTATTATATATATTATATATTATTTAACCTACTTATATTTATTTATTTATTTTTTATTGCATTCCTTATTAATATACAAGAATACAAAAAATAATATAAAAATGATATGTCATAGAGAAGTTTCACTTTGTACGTTTTGTTACGTAAACAATTACACAAATAATTTTTTATAGAATAGGGGTGACAAATGAGCATATACTCCATCTGATATACATACACATGTGGCCCATATACATACACATCTATTCTCGATCAAGAATCAAAATGCAGAAGAGTTGCCACTCATGAGGACTAAGATGAAATGCCTCCCTACCAGATCAGTAGAAAAGAACTCTAGTTTTCTACACTCACCACACGAAACACAGCATCATAACACACTTGTTGGTTCACGCAACCCATTCGCGCATAAGCCATAATATAGATGCAGCATGGCTCTATCACCAAAAGAAACACTTCTACGTATACTACTAAACCGAAAGTACTTACTACTTACTTACTTACTACGAATACTTTGTCACAAAAAATATCTTCTGTAATTTGTTAAAAAATAACTTAAAATAGGTTTAATGATTTTTCTTTCACATAGAGGTAACTTATTATTATTAAACGCAGGATGTGTTCCCCTATAAGTCGTTATGCACTTAGCTTAAGACATGTTGGAACTTTTATTTTTTTTTATTCAAATGTATTTGTGTTATAACTGTTGGAGAACCTAATAAATAAAAAAGTACAGAACAAAAACTGTGTCACAGTGGACTACGGAGAGCGCGACCGCGGACGCTAGCGCTGAGAGGGAGCTGGTGCGGTAATTAAGCCACGCAATTGTATTTTCATTTACGATAGTTACTAATATTAGGCACATTAAACAATAGTACCTGGATGACCGAGCTTTGCTCGGTTTTTTTTGAAATTACATTTAGATACAAATTACATACTGATGAAACATGAATAATATTTTTTGATCTTATTGACATAATATAAAAAAAAATTAACTGGTTATTTGAATAAAAAATTCATGAGTGCAATTAGTTTAACTAAAATTTTCGTATTTTTAATAAATACTAAAAAAGGGCTCGAAATAATAGATTTTCTCACAAAAGAAGGGAATTTGATGGCAAACCAAGGCATTAAGATGTCGCGACCGCTCGATATCCACTTGAGCTATTACGATTATTGACACAGTGTCAAAATTTACCTTCTTATATTGTAGCAGTTTTTCATTGCTTGAAAACACAGACAACAAACATTTTCTAAAAATAAATCCTCTATTCCTCTATTCTAAAAAGAAACTCCCTGGACACAAAATTTTAAAAATTTGAAAATAGTTGGAGCCGTTTCCGAGATTCCGATTATATACAATACGTAACGTAATTAACGCACACCCTCAGACACCCCAATTAGTATATTATGTTATAATCATAATACATACACTGAATTTTTAGTTAAACATTTTTATGCACTGATTATTTATCAAATTAGTTATACTAATTCCGGAAGAATGTTGTGGTCACAGTACAAATCCACGAACGCAATGACTTTAACGTGCTTGAAATAAAGTTCATTTTTCTTTATTTTTATTGAATGACAGAATTAGTATTATTACAAATAAAAGTGCACTCTTAAAAGTCTTCTTGCCTTGAGTTACGGTCCATTTCAGTTTGTTTTGACTGTACAGATTTATTGTGACTGTAATTTACGTAGTTTTAATTATTTTTGGGATAAAAAATTACCTATATTAAAAATGATAGGAATCGATTCAGTAAACGATTCTGAACAAACTACTTACTCAAATTGCGTTAATTATGTTACATGTTGTATATATATATATATCTATATATATACAGGGTGTAAGTGTAAACACCGTTGTCCTTATATATATAAATAACAACTTTTTTTTAGTAAAATCTGAATTTTTCCTTAATTCCTCAATTTTTGCCCATCCTAAGCCAGGATGAAAGTATGAAGAAAAAGTCATATCACAGGTTATGTGTACCTATTGTGTTTTTATATTGAATGTTGTGTAGGTAGCTAGCGCGGGCGGTGATCTTTACAGTGATTACGTCATTCTGGCGCATAGGGTATCCATGAATTTACGAAACTTTTTAAATTTTATGAAAGAAAATAGCGTAATTTTTTTTAAATTCATTGAATTCACCTTCTATAAGTGAAACCAAACCACTGGTTTCAAGGACAACGGTGTTTACACTTACATGTCAATAAACGCTCGCGGTTTACAAAGCAAAGAACCAGTCTTGGAACAATGCGATATTGTTACAGTATATATCAGTCAATCGACTCCACAAGAGGGCGAGGGTTTCCACAATTTTTTCTGCCACTTGAGTGGCGCCACTTTTCCATGAGGTGAAATATTTTGAGGGATCTCATGGTAAGGAACTTTAATTATTACAAAAGTGTACAGAATAATGGTTATTTCCGAAATATTAGTTATCATCATCATTACAGCCCTTAACAAGTCCATGTGCTGCTGAATATAGGCCTCCCTCAAGGAACGCCACAAAGCACGGTCCGTAGCCACCTGCATCTATCAACTTCCTGCATGTCTTTCCAGGTCATCACTCCATCTAGTGGGAGGTCACCCTACACTTCGCGTACTGGTATGAGGCTGTCACTTGAGAACCTTTTTTCCCAATCTGTTGTCGGTTCTTCGAGCTATATGGCCGGCCCATTGCTACTTCAGCTTATTAATCCGTTGGGCTATTTCGGTCACTCTGATACTACTGGGAATTTCCTCATAAATTTTTAAGTTTATCACGCAGAGAAACTCGGAGCATAGACCTCTCCATAGCTTGCTGAGCGACCTTGAGCTTCTTCATAAGGTCAGCAGTGAAGGACCACGTCTCAGATTCATAAGTCATCACTGGCAACACGCACTGGTTGTACAATCTCGTTTTTAAGTTTGCAGCATATCTGACGCAGCGGTGAAGAGTTTGATACATATATATACACTGGTTTCAAGGATAACAGTGTTTACACTAACAGCCTGTATATATATATAGTTATATTTTCTATTAATTTGATAAAAATGGGTGCACCTAACTACTATATCGAAGTCGAGCCAACGCAAACGTATTTTTCTAATTTTTTTTGCTGCACTACCTATCATATGTTTATCTGTGCTAAGCCTAATAGTTGATTGGGAGACAATGCCTTAAGGCATTAAGTCCGCCATATGTACCATTTTTTGTGCGTAAAAGTTGTTAAATAAATAAATAAGTTTAAATAAATAAATAATAATAATTTATTTCCTCAAATTTATTACATTAACGAACGGACGCATGCATACGTTACCGTAGAGGCCGGCCCAGTTGTGTCGGTGGGCCGTGTGCGGCAGGCACCAGGGAATCATCGTGTTCTCCTGCTTGTCGTGCGGCGAACGGACGTATACGTACCGTAGAGGCCAGCTCAGTTGTTGTGTTGGTTGGCCGTGTACGGCAGGCACCAGGGTATAAGCGTGTTCTCCTGCTTGTCGTGCGGCGAACGGACGCATACGTACCGTAGAGGCCAGCTCAGTTGTTGTGTCGGTTGGCCGTGTGCGGCAAGCACCAGGGTATCAGCGTGTTCTCCTGCTTGTCGTGCGGCGAACGGACGCATACGTACCGTAGAGGCCAGCTCAATTGTTGTGTCGTTTGGCAGTGTGCGGCAGGCACCAGGGTATCAGCGTGTTCTCCTGCTTGTCGTGCGGCGAACGGACGCATACGTACCGTAGAGGCCAGCTCAGTTGTTGTGTCGTTTGGCAGTGTGCAGCAAGCACCAGGGTATCAGCGTGTTCTCCTGCTTGTCGTGCGGCGAACGGACGCATACGTACCGTAGAGGCCGGCCCAGTTGTGTCGGTGGGCCGTGTGCGGCAGGCACCAGGGAATCATCGTGTTCTCCTGCTTGTCGTGCGGCGAACGGACGTATACGTACCGTAGAGGCCAGCTCAGTTGTTGTGTCGTTTGGCAGTGTACGGCAGGCACCAGGGTATAAGCGTGTTCTCCTGCTTGGCGTGCGGCGAACGGACGCATACGTACCGTAGAGGCCAGCTCAGTTGTTGTGTCGGTTGGCCGTGTGCGGCAGGCACCAGGGCATCAGCGTGTTCTCCTGCTTGTGGTGCGGCGAACGGACGCATACGTACCGTAGAGGCCGGCCCAGGTGTTGTGTCGGTTGGCCGTGTGCGGTAGGCAACAGGATATTAGCGTGTTCTCCTGCTTGTCGTGCGGCGAACGGACGCATATGTACCGTAGAGGCCAGCTCAGTTGTTGTGTCGTTTGGCAGTGTGCGGCAGGCACCAGGGTATCAGCGTGTTCTCCTGCTTGTCGTGCGGCGAACGGACGCATACGTACCGTAGAGGCCGGCCCAGTTGTTGTGTCGGTTGGCCGTGTGCGGTAGGCGACAGGATATTAGCGTGTTCTCCTGCTTGGCGTGCGGCGAACTGACGCATACGTACCGTATAGGCCGGCCCAGTTGTTGTGTCGGTTGGCCGTGTGCGGCAGGCACCAGGGTATCAGCGTGTTCTCCTGCTTGTCGTGCGGCGAACGGACGCATACGTACCGTAGAGGCCGGCCCAGTTGTTGTGTCGTTTGGCAGTGTGCGGCAGGCACCAGGGTATCAGCGTGTTCTCCTGCTTGTCGTGCGGCGATCGGACGCATACGTACCGTAGAGGCCGGCCCAGTTGTTGTGTCGGATGGCCGTGTGCGGTAGGCAACAGGGTATCATCGTGTTCTCCTGCTTGTCGTGCGGCGAACGGACGCATACGTACCGTAGAGGCCGGCCCAGTTGTTGTGTCGGTTGGCCGTGTGCGGCAGGCACCAGGGTATCAGCGTGTTTTCCTGCTTGTCATGCGGCGAACAGACCCCACCAGCCGCGCATGCGCAAACACCTCGCAGAGCACCGCTCGAAGAACGACCGTTCTTCTTATCCTCGTATCTATACTGGAGAACCTGCAAACATCGTACCATCCAGTAGTATTCTTAGCAATGAAATATTTGTTTTTGGTTTAAAAAATCATACTGGGTATAATTTTAATTCATGTCAATTGTATAACAATTATGTACTAATCGCTTGTAAGTTTTAAATATTAAATAGGTGGATGCGCAAGTGTAATGCATAACCTATAGACGTAGCTATCCAACATAAGCACGCTCGCACGCACTTCTTTTTTCACTGTTAGAAAACAATAAATAATTTAGAAAACCTGAAAGGCTTATCTAACAATTGTTAAAAGTAATGGTTGTGTGATTTAACTCACTATTGTCTTTGATTTAACAATTATTTGTAGTCTTTACTGTTTCATTATGAATACAAGAAAAGTGAAAAAGCTTACCTTGCATTTAGTGCCATCTGAAAGTGTAACTGATATATTAGGTAAATCCCTCCAGTCAGATCCAGGAGTCATTGGAATCCTACTGATACGGGCTTGGATAAGGGGGGCCATGTTTTTACATATATGATCTCGTAGTTTTGCACTTTCATCCTTACTCCTAACCAAACGCTGGAAATGACTTTCTGGCATTGAGCCGTAGTCGATTTCTATTTGGTTTGCACCATTGCATATTCGCGGTAGATCGCTCATGGCATCATGTATGGTGCACGTTCGCCTCGGCGCAGATTCATCCCATTTAATGTTCGTTACAAATCGCTTGCCATCTATAGTAGCCGTCAGAGAACACGCACGTCTACTAAAAACATGCGTCGGCTCCGGATATGATGGCAACTTGTAACCGGGAGCGGCTGCCAAAATAATAAGCCGTCTTCTTGTTTGTGGTACTCCGTAATTCCCAGCCTGAACTATACCGAAGGTACACTGGTAGCCCATGTCCAACAACGCTCTAAGAGTCAGTTTTAAAACCATTCCTTTTTTGAAAGCCACAAAGTTTCTGACATTCTCTAATATAAAAAATTTAGGTCGATAGTAGTCACAATATGATAAATATGAAGCAACAAGAGAATTCTTGAAGTTGGAATACTCTCTAGAGTTGAACCTGTTCATGCCGGAAAAGCCTTGGCAAGGTGGCCCGCCGCATAGTAACTCAACTTCCCCCTGCTTGGGAAGTCTTAGACCACCTTTACTGTGTGTGGCACCTGACATAACATCTTTTAATAGTGCATTGCAGTCTTCATTATAAACTATACAATTTCTATTATTAAGAGAGTAAGCATGCGCAGCAGCCTCCAAGTTTTCAACTGCCCATTTGCATTCGGCAACGCCTGATTGATGTAAGCCATCAGAAAGACCCCCACATCCAGCAAATATATCTAAAGTTCTTAATGGTCTTATTTTCACTTCTTCTACTTTAGCTAAGTTTGGATCCACAGGCTTGCTGGATTTACCTTTCCCTTTACCCTTATCTTTACCTTTATCCATCCTACCGACAGCTGTGGCATGGTGAGGTACATCTTCAAATTCTTTAGTAACTTTGTTATAGGCCATTCTAAAGTAAAATCTACTTGGTTCTTTCTCAAGCCATTCATGTAACGTTTCGTGATGCGGAACATTTCTTTCGTAAATTAAATTACACGGCCCTACTACAGAAGAGAATGAGATCTCTTTAATCTCTTCACTCCAATATACAACATTCAAATCTTCCTGTTGAGGAAATCGACTACAAGTGTTTTCTGGTCTGTATAGCACATTAACTTTGATATATATGTCCTGTGGAACTACAAGAGGCCCTTCGCCAGCTGCGGTAACTGCAGCAATATGACCTACACAAAAAGGTTCCCCAGTGTCTATGTTAGAACCACGTAAATTATTATCACTTTTCCGATAATATTCGGGATAAATGTCTTCATCTATTTTATCTAACTTGATTTTATTGTTATTGCTCATTGTATTTGTATAATTATTTTTAAGTTTAAATGTGCCGGGTTTTAGGAAAACGCCCATGCCCTTTTTGTAGTCATAATCTTGCCACCTAACCAATGTCCATTCCGATCTGTTAGATTCTGTTACAAAGTTGGATTTTTCTACTAGTTTTCCAAAAACCTTAGGTATATCTTTAGCATCTCTTCTTGTTTTCCTTTCACAAGATGGACAAAACCGATGTTTCCTCAAGTCATTGGGACACAACGGGTCTTCTGGCAAATTTTCAAAGCGTGCCGTAAATCTCTCGTAATATTTATTATAAAAGTAAGTTTTTCCATCATCTTCAAAAAATTCTTCTTCTACTTTTTTGCCACCAAGTTTAAACCAATCTTTCGCAGTTTCTCTTTTTTCTACATTAGCTTTTCTTAAAATTGAGGACAAAGGTGCACCATGGCAACAACGATCTCCTAAAAACACTTCTCTCGGATCACCTACTTCTCCCAAAACCGTGTCTGAAGCCCTTATGAAAACTTCACCGTGAAAATAACCACATTTTGAGTTGAAAGTTTCTTTCCACATATATGTGACTCTTGTGACTAAAGCGGGAATGTTAGCTTGAGATGTTTCAACCATAACGAAATCACCAATTTTTAGTTCAGAATCATCAATCTCAACCCTCTCATAGTAAACTTTAGTAGCATCAGCTTTTATTGGATCTCCGATCCACGTAATTTTCTTGTTATTTGAACCAGTCAACTTAACAGGCACTGCATCGTCAATTTTATCGCGTTCTTTTCGTTCGGCCATTTGGCGATATTCTTCTTCATCTTCTGGCTCAGAATCTTCCGCCTGTTCTACAGCCATATTAGGGCATAATCTACGAACGCAAGCTTTTTTAGTTCTCCCGTGCCCACCAAATTTCGCCATAGCTCGGCATGCATTACATTCCCCACAATCTGGCAGTTGACAAGCTTCACACACGCCACATCTTTTCCTTCGTAAAACTAACTCATGATTAGTTTTGTCTAACTGATTTGTAAAGAAACTTTCAAAAGTTTTTTGCACAAGAGGAGTAGTTGTAGCTTTAGTCCAAGTTTTTTTATCAACTTTCTTGTAGTCTATTTTCGTACGAATTTTCCTTTTACCGAATTTGATACCCATTAACTTTATTAGTTCTCTAATGCATGGCAAGGTTATTAACGGTTCATCGTCTTCATTAGTCTCTAAGCTCACAACTTGATCACACACAAACTGTGCATGTTTGTGTAACATATCTTCTGACATTTTCTTGTCATTAAGTTCAGGGATTGTGGATTGGCAAACAACTCCAATTAAATCTTCATAGGTAGGTTGCAGATAATGGTATTCTTCCAAATATTCTACAACAACTTTACTAAGCCAGATTTTTTCATATAAGTTATCCATAAGGGGATTATACTGCTCACTGGGTTTTAATAAATTATATTCTCCAAATTCAGTAGAAAGTGTTATGCAGTTTCTCATTCCGCCGTCAAATCCATGTATAAACCTAAAAGGAATGCAGATTATATTTTAAAAAGGTAAACTACCTATCATACCTATCATATCACATCATAACTTTTCAGAACATTCTTAAAAGAAAAATCTCTAATATTTAATAATTAGTAAACACTAAGACTAACCATTCAATAATGGGTCCAACATCTTTTACAGGAATGCACTCTTCATCAATTTCTTGTGAGTCGGAGCAAATAGATTTTAAATATCCTGACATATAGATCCTCACATCACTTTCAACAAGACCGCCATCAATTGGACAAAGATGGCCATGTTGATCAAAAATAGAAAAACCAGTTATATTTGTCTGAGGTCTTTCCATTATATCTCCATCATCACCTGTAAAATGTATCAATTTAAATATACATTAATATTGTATAAAATAAGTACAACTTTTGTTGGCAACACGGAACAATGTTCCTTAAAATGATCATTCGTTTCTGGAATAAAAACTTATCGTCAATTGAAATATATAATTTTTTCTCCGAAAGAAATACAAGATTTGAATTTAATTAGTCATGTGTTATGTAGTAATTGGCGATAATACGAATAAAGAATATTTAATATGTGATGTGATCTGTGAATATAAGGTCAATAATTGGTTGATCATTGATTGTGAGGCGTAAGAGGAAGAGAGCAGAACGGTTTGACTTTATATAAATAGTTATATTAATCACACTACTCCTGGGCACAGGCGTCCTCCCATACCTCAAGAAACTTTTAAGGCAAAGAAGTATCCACTGACTGCCCCAAAGCATGCTGAATCTTTAAACATCTTCGAAATATTATTTTTTGTAATTTTCACAGCAATGCCTCATGATATTTTTCTTCACCGTGGAGCATGCGATAAATCAGCACTTATTAATTTAATGCTACATACTAACAGTACTTAATACGCCAGCGGGGATCAAAACGAGATTGTATACTTTGTTTTTATGGCGAGTGCTATGCCCCTGAGCAATCGACTAACAAAAATAAAAACAACAAATTACCTGAAGCTAACAATAACTTTTCATTTGTCAATGCAATAAATTCTTCTACAGCATCCTGTGGGTGCCCTTGGTAGTAAATAATATCAGAATTATTTAAAAATTGTCCACAAATATCACACTTTTCTGTGTCTGCAGATGTCATAGTAAAAATTTTCTTTTCTACGCCATTTACATCTCCAGACTTGGTCAATTCATCATCACTCCTCTGTTTATTTTTTATAATATTTTCAACTTCATCACAATTTGTGATCTGTTCACATTTGTTTAATAAATTAACATCCATATTATTTTCTAAATTCATAGTATCATCATTTATTTGTATTGTTTTTTTACAATCAATTAAACTATTTTCATTTCTTTCAACTTCCTCTACAGCAGAAACCTCACATTTGGCCTTTTTCTGTAAAATAAATTATTTATTTTCAAGTGTAATAACACTATTAATATCCCAACATAAACTGAAAAGTATGTTATGAAGCTCAGAGGAACTTAATAAGATGATGAATGAACTAAGAAGTAAATGAATAACCAACAAGCAAACATTTGGTAAATATTTTTTGATTTGCTGATAACTTTTAAGTCTTTTCAACACAGTATGTTTCTATTACACCTCAGTTTAAAATAATACCATTATTTTACTATTAGAAATTTAAAAAAAAGAAGAATTTTTATGGGTACTTGTTAAAAATTTAATTAGATTAGTAATTAAACTGTGTAGTGGTGACATAAGAGAATCCATTGCCCTATACAGGTGTTAGTGTAAACACCGTTATCCTTGAAACTGTTTGGTTTTATTACCTATTATATATTTATTAATTATAAATGGTTTGGTTTTATGGTAGAGCCATGCTGCAGTTATATTAGTAGTATAGTTGTAGCACGAATGGGTCGGCTCGACCGGGGAAGGACCACGCTCTCACAGAATACCAGCGTGAAATAGTAGCTTAATGCTGCTTTTTTTTTTGTGGTTTTTGGACTTTTCATTTTTTTTTTGTAGGATGTAGTGTAATGGTGAGTATAGAGAACCAGAGACCCTTTTTACTGGAAACGAGGCATTCCATCTTAATCCTCACGAGTAACAGCGCATCTGCATTTTGATTTGTAATTGAGGATAGATGTAGATGTAACCATTTACCATCAGGTGGACTGTGTGTTCGTATGTCACCTCATCCTATAAAAAAACTTATAGAACTTAAATTCAATGAAAAATAACAACAATTTTTTAATAAAATCTCAATTTTTGCCTGTCCTAAGCCAGGATAATAATAATAATAATTTCTTTATTCAGCGCGGGAGGTGATCTTTACAGTGATACGTCACTCGGGCGCATATGGTATCCACGAATTTACGGACGGTGTTGAACAGAAACTTTTTAAATTTTATTAAAGAAAATAGCGTTTTTTTTAAATTCATTGAATTTACGTTCTATAAGTAAAACCAAACCACTGGTTTCAAGGATAAGGGTGTTTACACTAACATCCTGTATAATCCCGTAGGTAACATATGGGAAAAGTAAAATGAAACAGAAGTTGGGCAGCAGCATGCTAACTGCCAAGCGTGGGAACTGGCAAATATCTCCCTTTATGAAGCAATCTATGGGGAATGCCTATGTTCGGTAGTAGAGTTGCTGTAAGGATATAATGGCATAATTAACTCAGTGCCATGGGCTTGCGGCGGTAGAGAATCCATAAACTTATTTCGTCCAATAGGTGTCATAAGAAGTGAATATGGAAAGTGATAGAAATAGATGGCAATATACTGACAGGTAACATCATCAAAGGTGTAAGACTTTTGATACTGTGATTGTCAATCTGCCTACCAAAAATAACAATTCAGGCAAATCCTCTGTATTAACAAAAATTACAAGTCTTTAGGAAATAAAACTGGACTGTTTCAGCTATCTACCTGCTAGGGAAGGTCATAATTAATGGTTTGAATTAAAATACTTACAATGATATTCTCTTCCTGTTCTTCTGTAGCACACCTATTTCTCTTTGAAGCCAACATTGTTGTGATTTTCAACTGATTCCCATTTTTTACTGTTTTTTCGGTGGTGCTAAAATAAATTATGATTAACCTTAGTAATCAATATTAATAATAATTTTAATTGAAATAATTTTAGAACATTTTCACTATTATTACGAAGTAATACGGTGCATATATAAAAAAAATATTATATTAATTTGTGTTTTTTTAACATCGTTTTCAAAAAGCACTACCATTTTTAAGCATTTAGCTTAAAAATGCTGTCAATGTGTATATCTTGGAAAGTTACTTAATAATACTAAGCAAAATCTGCAAAATAAATGAATGGGTAATAACTAATAAGAAGAAAGAAATCTATCAGAATTAGGTTATTATTTTGTATTCTTATTTTCTTTTATATTTTTTAGGAAAAATTCATACAAATTGCTGTTTTCAGTTGTTACAAAAAACAAGATTACATGATTTAGATGGGGAGGAAAATGAAGTAGAATTGGTGGTATAGAATGCCATTTGTGTACATCATGCATTTAGCCAATTTTTAAAGTAATTACTAGTTTTTCTTTATAGAAGAGGGGGCAAACGAGAATGCGGCTCACCTGATGGTAAGTGACTACCGCTGCCCATGACCAACTGCAACCAAATCCATTGCCTTGTATTGGTCCAGTAAAATCGCGGGTGGCAAACGATTTCACAAAGAGATTTTGCGAGGAAGAAAACTCCTAGTAAAATGCACTAAATAAAGAAGAATGCAGAAAATAAAATAAAAGGCAATAAATTCAATGAATTTGAAACCCGATGCTATCCATTGAAGCCAACCGATACTCGCCGCACACCCCGTAAGCCTCTTTGATGTTCTTTTGCAGGCGCAAATGCCACCTGCACTCTCATTTCAGGCACCTGTAATTAGTTACGGCGTGACGTTGTACTTTTATGTTTCCGCGTGTGTATAGGGCGCCCGTTGATAGTTAACGTAAACATGTACCAGTACTCTAATGTTGAGTACCAAGCAATGGTGAGATTATGTGTCTTGTCTGGTGAAAACTTAGACAGTGCGGGATAATAAATGTACACAGACGAATAACACCTACAATCTTTCGAAGGGGTGGTATTCCTGCTCCTCAAATTCCCAGCACTGATTATGATTACGGATGTATTAGCCCTTACATGATGATGGCCAGTTCCGGCTTCCCAGCGATGATAGAGGCAGGGGCCGGCCACCTTTGTCCACACATTGAAGAAGCCATATTGGATTACTTCTAACGACACCCGAAAAGGAGCACCCGGCAAACCGCTCGTCAGTTTGGCGTAAGCCAGTATGTTGTAGTGAAGCTACTTCGTTCAATGAATATGTACAATTATACTATATATACAATTTCTCACAAGTGCAAGTTTTACATGCACCTGACCTTGGATCACGGAAAGAGTTTTGTCATTGATTGTAGGACCATGTGCGGGCTAACATCTTGTAAAGTAACGAGTTGATATTTACCCATGTTGGAATTTACAACATGCACAATGAGCACTGGTGAAAACTCACACAAAATCAAAGAACATGCTAATCAAGTTTGTTTCAATGTTAACATTTGGGGGGGGGCGATTGTTAACGACCCTATCATTGGTACAATATAGATTGAAGGTCGATTGACGGGAGTATGATACGCCCAAATAATTCATCATCGACACAGTGTTGGAAGGTATTCCTCTGAGCCATCTGCAAGGAATTTACTTCCAGTATGACAGATGTCCAGCTCTTACGAGATCAGCGCGCGCATATCTGGACAGCCAATTTGGTGATAGGTGGACAGGTCATGGTGAACATGTGAACTGGCTGGCGAGATCACCAGATTTAACAAACATCTCTAGAATTTTACTGCTAAACTAAAACAATTAGTGTACACAGAATAAGCACTAAGTGTTAGTGATTTAAATCAACGCATAACAGATGCATTTAATGTGATAGAGACATGCTTCAAAGCTTAACAAACAATTTACAAGGACATGCTATTTTGTGTTTAGAAAGAAACGGTGGACATTTTGAACATTACTGTGATATCACTAAAAGGTAATTTTTTTTATAAATGACAATAATGTCTTATAATTTTTAAATATCAATCAGCACTTTGCACTATAAGGTAGGCCTAAAAATTATTACAAGAAACTGTTCATCAAAACCCTTTCTACTGGAAACAAGACATTCCATCTTCGATCAGTCTTCAGGGGTGATAGGTCTTTTTATATAATTATTGAAAACCTTTGGAGCAATAAAGAGCAAAGCAAGGAAGAGCTTTAGGTTAATGATAAATACAATGGGCAAATCGATCAAACTTCCATCCATCATACCAGGATTCTAATGATTTTTTAATTTGTCCTATGTCATGGAGACCACAATGACAATCAAGTTTGTACACATCCGCATCTTGCAGAAGAATATTTTATTATACTTGATAGATGAAAAAACGGACTTATCTTCTTTGACGGCTTTAAGTTTATTTTAAAATACTTTCAGTTCTTTCTGCATAGTTTAGAAAAATTGATAATTTTAAACTGAATGCAGCCATGTTAAATGTGATATTGGGAATTTCAAAATAACGTCAGCCCTCTTGTGACCATGGTGTTGTACAAGTATTTGAAACGATGTTAATATAAGTTAATGTATTTTGTTTACGTTAAGGTGTGATAAAATCCGTAAAACCTTCATTCTAAACTAATCCACTATTACTATTCTGCTGTTACTGCAGGATACTAACTAAAACAACACATAAAACACTTACATTTTCGATGCGGAATCTTTACTTTTTAAACTATGCATATTATCTTCAGTATCCATCGAATCTCTGTTAGTTTGAATAGTTTTTCTATGCTTCCTGTTACTAATGCAGCCAGGCATTGTCAATTATTTTTATTGATACAAATCAACTAAACAACGAAAGATAAGTCAAAGAACTAAATAATACAAAACAATGCAGTTATAATTAAGCAGCATTTTAATAAAAAATGTTTATTCCATAAAATTAACATGAAGTATATATTTTAGTTATAAATAGTTATAAATTTCTCACTTCAGTTATATTATGTTATTTGAAATCAAAGAGTACCTCTAAACTCTAAAATCACTTTCGTAACTTTTCGTTTGAACTGTCAATGGGTGCGTTTGGCAGAAAAAAGCGCTAGCAAGCGCTTGTAAGCAAAATGGCGATCGTAAGCGGTAAGCGCTGTCAAATCGTAAGTAGCTATTTTCCTCCAGGACACGATGTTAGTTTTAACCGGAGAACCTAACCTAATTTAAATATATGTTTGTAAAGTATTCATATTAAAAACTTACCAATCATGAATTTTTAATAACATGTATATGTCTATTCATAACATTATATTACTTAAAACTAATATTGCACGAAACAAATTATAAACTCTACTTCAAAACAAATAAATTAAATAAGCAAAATGGCAGATTGTGTCAGCGCTACTGAAGTAGCAATCGTGTCCTGGCCGAAAACTATTTTAGCGCTTATAAGCGCTTGCTAGCGCTTTTTTCTGCCAAACGCACCCATTATGTCAGTCAAAAATGGCGCGAAAATCTCGCATTTTTTTCTTAACTGGCTTTACGGTTCTGGGTTCTAGCCCTTCTGAATCTATCATGTCTTTCGGAACGTTCATTTTATATTCTTTTTCTTGATAATATGCTGACGCGTCACATTGCGAAGCCCTTGGGAGATTTTGATGACAGCTCAACCTAGCGGACAATTGATGATGACAGCCACTCAAGTTCATAAGACGCCTAAGCGGTCAAAGTAACTTGAGAGTATCGACATCAAAGCACTTGTTTCGTCGTTTTCTTTAATAATTAATCACACGCGCGGACACTTATTTCACAAAATCGCATCACTTTTACGAATGATATTCTACTTCAAAGCATTATTCAAGCGACAAAACAGGAGTGACAATCCGTCTACGGCCAAGTTCCTGTCAAAACTCAATCTTGCAACTCTCTAGTATATATAAAGTAATCTGCTCGCAACATAGATTATATAGAGCATAGAGCATGAATGTTAGAGAACAGGAGAACAATCGCCGTAGAAAATAGTGTCCCAGAAATAAGGATACCATAAGTGAGGCGCTGCGATCGCTAAGTTCGGTCAATAAAAGTCATTTTCATTCTATTTTTCCGATCAGATGCTAAACCATTTGCACATCCACGCACAATAAAATATTTTTCCATTTTTAATGTTTCTTTTTGTCAAAAATTACAAAATTACGGAGCATGAAAATTTTCTCAACAATGCCGCGGAAAAAAATTGTACATTATTCAACTAACTTCATCTACTTGTACTCATAATGTGTGTGGCATGTTTTCAACGTGCTGCTTGAACGCCGTCACTGCCTCTTCGTAGCTTGTAAAAGTGAAGCCTCTCATCAATTCTAGGAAAAACAAAGAAATCACAGTGTGCAAGGTCTGCAGTGTGTGCTGGGTGAATGGGTCACGAGCTCTAATTTTTCAGAACAGGATGAATGTCGTACTTTAATAATTTTTACATCTTTGCCTACTGACAGTGGTCACAAACATTTTTGTATTAAGTGTGGTTTATTTGAAATTTTTGAAGGGGAAAAAATAATTTACTAACTTATTAAATAAATTATTGTTATTATATAAATTATTTATTTTGATTTTAGTATAAAAACAGTTATAAAAGTCTAGTTACAATTACTAATTTGGCAGAAATAAAGAAATGAAAATTCAAAAATCGGAATCTGATGTCTCTTTATCGGAGTTACTGCTTTCCGATGACGTCTCGCCTGTCACATTTATCACAAAAGGATCAACAGTTTTGTCTACACTATCATTTAGTCCCGTGGTAGATACTGCGGTGATAGATACTGCGGCCCGTGGACGATATTTGTGTGACCCGCGACAAAGCAAACAACTTTAGGTAATGATATCAAAATATCATCTAATAAACACATCAAGTAAACTAAATAAAAGTACGTGGGTAGGTATAAACTTCCTCCTGCACCTTGCTCTGAGTGAGCGGGTTGCGGGAGGGGACGTCACGGCAAAGGCGAACGCAATTTCAATTTCATTCATTTGTTTTAACATACTGCGTAGGACACTTGTCAATAAATTACGTACGAAGTATTCATATTTAATAACATTATAATGACGGGATCATCAAAAAGTGGTACTAAAATGAAGTTAAGTTACGAAAAAAGGTCACTTCAAAATAAATGGAAGGAAGAATTTTCTTTTATAAGTCGACATACGGATGGTACTGCAATTTTTATTTAATATGCCGGGAAAGTGTCGTCGGTATAAAGCGACACAATTTATTTCGCTACTATACAAGTAAGCACAATTCATTCACTGAAGCCTTTCGTAAATAAATATTATTATCTTATCGTAATAAAGTAGCTGTTTGAATCTGCAATTCGTCGTGAACAAAATATATTGACGACAGCAGTTGGACAAGACGAGGCTGCTACAAAAGCATCTTACTAAGTTTGTTACATGCTTGCAAAAAGGATGAAACCTTTCATTGATGCTGAATTAATAAAGGAGCGCGTGTTAACTGTTTCTCAGACTTTGTTTCAAAAGTTTTAAAATAATAATCTAATAATGGCGGAAGTAAAAAAGCTTACGCTTTCAAATCAACCTGTCGACGCCGAGTTGAAGATTTCTCAATAAACATGTTTGAGGTAGTAACTGATAGGTTGAAAAACTGCAAATACTTTAGTCTTGCGTGTAATTCTTGTACGGATATATCTTCTATGTCTCAGTGCTTACTTTTTGTGCGGTACTGCACTATGGACGGATTCATAAAAGAAGACTTCTTAACCGTCATAACCATGAAGGGCCCATACGAGAAGATGTGATTTTATGGAAGCTCTGAAAGAATTTGTCAAAAAGTACGGTATACTTGTGAGTAAATTGATATCAGTGTGTACTGATGGTTGTCCGTCAATGTTGGGTGCAAATAATGGTCTTATTGCCTTAATTAAGAGAATGGAATCTACTTAATATGCTGCCCATTCATTGTTTGCTGTATCAAGAAATCTTGGTAAATCAAATTTCGAATAATAAATTGGAGGATGTCATGAGTATTCATTACATCCTCATAAACATAATCAATTTGATTTGCACGCGTAAACTAAACCATGGAAAATTTAAAGACCTAATTAAGGAATTACAAGCTAATTATGGTGATATAGTCCTACATACTACCGTCAGATGGTTGAGCAAAGGAACAGTTCTAAAACGATTCTTTCATTTAAAATCCGAAATAATTATATTCTTACAAAGGATGGGTACAGAATATCCTCAACTTCTCAACGATGAATCTTTGGCATTGACGGCTTTTTTGGCTAATATTGCCATGAAGATTAATAATCTTAATTTAGAGTTGCAAGGGCCTAACAAGATAATCGTACAAATGACTAATAAAATATTAGTATGTATTTGAATTTAAACTTCAAATATATAATTTCATATATTTTTTTTTTTTTTTTTTTTTTTTTTTAATAAGGTCCAAGTTGGAGACTTCTAATTTTCCAACAGTTGCAACTGTGCAATCAGAGTTGTCTATTTCCGATAGTATTTATCAAAATATTGTTTCATACATAATGGAATACTAGCAGACCCGGCCACGCGTTGCCGTGGCTAATGTTTTTGTTGTATAAAATTTTATTAAACTATTTAAGTGGAACGGTAGGAGAACCTCAATCATGGGGACCAACATGCTTTTTTTTACATAGATGCCATTTGTAAAAAACATGGCGACCTCCACGGCTGATTTTCTACTACCGTTACCCCTTAATACAATGAAATTATTATTTACGAACGAAGACTGAAACTTTAAAGCTGGTATAAAACTCCACTGGATTAGAATTTGAAGGAGAAGGACTTTGAACACGATTGATCAAAAATTTTGTACAATTGATATTAAGCAAAAATCATTACAATAGAATTAATTTTAAAATTCATAATTTTTTTTATTCAAGTTTGCAACAAATGAGTATATTACAAACTTTTCAGTAAATACATGTGACACTTAAACATATAAATGAGGTAGGTACGGCAGATAGTTTTAAATCTTTAACAATAATACTTATTATTTTGAATTACAAATACCTTTAATTTCAATTTAATTTAGCACTAATCGGTGAACAATATTTTTGGTTAACCTGTTTTTAGCAAACACAAACAGGTTCGACGGTTTTCCTACTCGTGAACATGCTACATGAGAAAAACATGGATTTTCCAAATCTAAACCACAAACAGACATTGTTTGGCCTTGAGATTTATTTATAGACATGGCAAAAGCTAAACGAATTGGAAACTGTAGCCTTCTGAAGGGTATCTTAGAATCTGACGGTATCATTGGAATACGTGGCAACAGAACCACTTCTCCTTTAAAATTTTCAGTTAAAATGGTTGCCTCAAGGATATTTCCGGTGATCCTTTTGATGACCAAACGTGTACCGTTGCATAATCGAGGTGGATTCAAATTACGCAGGAGAATAATAGGTGAACCAATCTTTAATCGAAGATTATGTGGTGGCATTCCAGGTATATCCAGTGACTTTAAAAATTCGATTGGAAAATTTACACTTTCATTTTCATTAACTCATATCGCCAGGTAATAACTGTTGTATCTGGAAGTTAATTTCGTCAACATCAACATTTTGGCTGCCAAAATAGCCCGATCACTGAGCCAGTTATGATTCAAGTAATTACTCTGTAAATCCGGAAAAATACTCTGAATCAATTCATTTTTCCTGGAAGAACAGCGCAGAAATTGTCTGGCAGTTTAATGCATTGCGTATTTGGTTGCAGTTCTATTTTACCGTTTCCAATATCTAGTAATTGTTCGGAAAATATTTGTGCAGATGGATCATTTTGCAATCGTAAGCGCATGTTTATGGTCAATTGAAGTGTTTCCACACTTCGCCATAAGAATGATTGTTTCAAACATGCCTTAATCTCATCCGCGAAAGTAGAGCGAGGTACAACCGGTAAGGTCTGTCGGAAATCATCAGACAAAAGTAAGATAGAACCACCGAAAAAGTATATCGTTGCCGTTTAAATCCTGCATAGTTCTATGCAATGCTTCGAATGAATGTTTGTGAGCCATTGTGCACTCATCCCAAATTATGATTGAACTCTTCCGCAACACTGCAGCTATTCCACTATTTTTTTATGTTACATATTGCGTTTGGTTTATTATGAATATCTAACGACAACTTCAATGTTGAATGTGCCGTTCGCCTACCATCTAGCAAAGTAGCCGTAATGCCTGACGATGTAACTGCCAATGCGATTTTCTTTTGTGATCGTATTTTGGCAAGAATCAGCGATATTAAAGAAAATAAATTAAAGCAAATAAATAAGCAAATAAAGATTTTTTTAATTATTATTATTATTGGGTTATTATTAATCACATCTGGTTGGGCTGGTTAAATATATAAAGGGAAAAATAAATATACTTAAGTATATATTTAATATACTAACATAAATAAATAAATAATACATAAATAAATAAAAGCCCAACCAGATGGAAGCCGTCGGCAGGGGAGACCAAACGGCCGAGGGTTAGGGGGAAAGGGAAAGAAACCGGCGGACGATGCGGGTGGTATCGAGGAGCACCGCCTTCTGCCTTTGAGCCCGGAGCGGTCCGTCACGGAGTCCCAGTCGCCTCAGATGGCCCGAGAGGCTGGCTGGGATTAACCCGTTTGCAGACACGACTACAGGAATAATTTCGGTCGGCAGACCACCCCACATGTCGGTCACCTCGTGAGCCAGGTCCAGATATTTTGATTGCTTGCCTGTTTCGGCTTTCACGAGGTTCTCGTCATACGGAGTGGTAATGTCGACCAAAAATATCCTTGACTGTGTCCGGTCCATCAGCACAATATCAGGCTTATTCGCAAGAATAGTCCTGTCTGTGATGATGGTCCGGTCCCAGTAGAGTCTGGCGCGGTCATTTTCGAGCACGGCTTCCGGCAAGTACTTGTAATACGGCAATTTTCGGTCCACGAGACCGTATTTCAAAGCGAGCTCCTGGTGTAGAATTCTGGCTACTAGGTTGTGTCTGTGCAAGTACACAGAGTTAGAAAGCGCCGAACAACCGGAGATAACATGCCTAAGTGACTCACCGGGATGGTGACAAGCTCGACAGATGTCGACGGTGCCATCCTTTAGGATGTATCTCCGATAGTTGTTGGTCTTAATAACCTGATCCTGTATTGCACAGACAAAACCCTCGGTTTCCCCCGAAGAGATCACCAAAGCGTAGCCAGTGGAGGGAGGCTACTGTGTCTACGAAAGGCTCATCTAGAGCCTTGTAGAACCTCCCGTGGAGCTCCTTCTCCTTCCATACGGTCTCCCGGTCGGAAATGCTCTGCACTGCCGGGTCTTGCCATTGCTCGTTGGCTAAGGATAGAGGGGTAAGTCCTTTATCACAAGAAATGACGTCCTTATAGAATGGATCATCCGATCTCGCCAGGAAGTAATCACGGAGGCTGCACACTTCGCGATTATGCATGGTGAGCGCGCTCAAGAAGCCACGACCACCATGCTTCCGCGGCAAGTACAGCCTCATTACCGACGATCTCGGATGATGCATCCTATGGGACGTCATGGTAGTGCGGACTTTTCTATCCAGGGCGTTAAGTTCAGTCTGAGTCCACCTGAGTATGCCAAAGGTATACATGAGGACAGGCATGACCCAGCCGTTATATGCGTGTGCCTTATTCACACCGGACAAAAGGCTGTTAAGCACTTTGGTCAAGCGTGCATAAAACACGTCGCAAACTGACGGTTTCATACCAGTCTCATCGATACCGATGTTTTGTGACATACCCAGGTATCGGTATGTTTCAGCCTCGGAAAGGCTCCTTAAGTTGACGGGCATAGATAAGTCTACGCCCTCAGAGTTAGCAACCCTCCCCCTTTCAACATGGAGGACCGCACACTTATCCGTCCCAAGCTCCATTCCAGTGGAATTGCTAAATTCACAAGTGATGTTTAGCAATTCCATAGGATGGGAGCGACTGGAGGCGAATAACTTGAGGTCATCCATATAGAAAAGGTGGGTCACTTTTTGTCCCTCCTTTCCGTAGCTGAAATCCCCTCCCGGAGCCCTCCAGTAAGGTACTGAGAGGGTTCAGAGAGAGGCAGAACCAGATTGGACTCAGACAATCGCCCTGGAAGATACCCCTTCTTATCCTTATGTGGTTCTCCGCAGCCATCATCCGCTCGCCCAGATGAAAAAGGATCGTACTCCACTGCCCCATACACTGCTCGAGGAAGTCTCTAACTGTACAGTCTATCTTGTACAGCTCGAGGACTCTCTTTAGCCATGTATGGGGCACCGAGTCGAATGCCTTTCTGTAGTCTATCCAGGCGGCGGAGAAGTTCCGACGGTTGCGTTTCACCACTTTGCCAATGACCGCGTCAATGAGGAGTGGTTCCTTGGTTCCACGACCACCGCCCCGACATCCATTTTAAGCGCGCGACAATACCTGATTTGAGTCCAGGTGACAAGTGATTCTCGCGCTCAAAATGGATGTTAGTGTCTTGTATATGGTCGGTAGACACGTGATGGGGCGGTATTTGCTCGGGTCTGTGGTACCCTGGTCTTTAGGAACCAAATGAGTGATCCCAGTAGTGAAGAGGCTTGGGAGCGACTTCTGGTTGAGAGCCTCTTGAAACTGTCGGGCGAGCACAGAGTGACACCCCATGAACCCCTTCAGCCAGTAGTGATGCAGCCCGTCAAACCCCGGACTTTTCCAGTTCGGGGCCCTACGGACCGCCTCAGCTACGTCATCCGGCGTTATGATGACGGGGTCCATGGGCGTAATACCCGCACACTGACTCGCCACAACTTCCGTCCAAGGGCCCTCGTTGTGGTTTACGGGCTCAGACCACAGGCCGCGCCAGAATGCTACAGTGTCGGACTGATTCGGTGCTGGACCCGTTCCACTTACCATTGGTCGCTCCAATGATTCATAGAGCCTTTTCTGATCACTCTGGAAGAGACGATTCTGGTTGAACCGTGTCGACCTCTCGGTATATCGCCGAATCCGCTTTCCCCAAGCAGCGATTCTCTGCTTCAGATCATCTATGCGCTCCGTCAGTTTTTGCGTTATATCCGGCTGGGACAAACTGACATTTGTCCCAGCAAACGCCATCCTGACGGTGCGCACAATTCTTGGCCTGTTGTTGCCTGATCTGAAGCATATCAGTCTGCCGATAAGAGCTCTAGCCTTTGCGATACGTTCCTCAATTCTTCTTCTCCATGCTGGGATAGCGCTACTATGGCCGTGGCTACAGCCGTGGAAACCTTGGCGCCTATGATACGGCAGACTGCCAGCGCGGTGCCAAAAAGAATTGAGTCCGTCTGGCAAAGGTCCCGGCTGGCTTCCAAATAGGTCACCAGCATTGGGTTCAGAGCCCTCACGACAGCCCGATTCCGCTTGCTTAGGGCTATGCGGGGAGTCGCGGTCGATTTTCGAGAGGCATATTCTTTTTTTTTGTCAGGCGTTCGTGGCGTTTGCGGGTATTATTATTATTATTTACGGTAAGTGTTTTCACTTCTCAACTCTAGGCTGGATTTCAACTACATTTACGGGCCGAAGCCAAAGAAAATGCAGCGTGTGGTGTGTAGTGTAGTTCATGTTATTTGATGAGGTCCTATTTCGTTTTCTTCTATCTGCATGAATTTCCTAACTATTCTGCATGTATTTAATATAGCTGCTTTTTGAAGTGTAATATATAGAGTTTCTTTTAGTTGTAATAATTTTAAGCTACGGAGGAGATGATTTGGGATGACACCTGTTGTGGAGAGGACTATAGGGACTACATATACTTTTTCTTGTTGCCAGATTCTAGTTACTTCATCTTTTAGTTCTGCGTACTTACTAATTTTTTCAGTTATCGTCTTCTGCAAGTTGTGTGTGTTGGGGACTGCAATGTCTATGAGGTAAGTAATATTATTTATTTTATCTTGTAGAATTATATCTGGTCGGTTATAGTGGATTGTCCTATCGGTGAGAATGCCGCGGTCGTAAAAAAGTTTATGTGTGGTGTTTTCTAGAGTAGGTTTTGGTGTATAATTGTAGTACGGAGTGTTGGCATCTTGAATGAGTGCGTGTTTGAGTGCTAGTTTTTGGTGAATGACATTGGCCACCTGGTTGTGTCTGTGAGTGTAGTCAGTCTGTGTGAGAGTTGTGCATGCGCCTGTGATGTGTTGAATGGTTTCCGGATGTGTGTGGCATTTGCGACATTTGTCATTATTTACTGTAGGATCTTTGATTATATATTTTCTGTAATTTTTTGTGTTTATGATCTGGTCTTGAATAGCTATTATAAATCCTTCTGTTTCTGGGAATAAGTTGCCTATTTTCAGCCACTTATTTGAAGCTAACTTATTTATGTGGGATTGCTCTAAGTCATGAGGGTGCCGACCGTGGAGAACTTTCTTCTTCCATTCGTCAATTTTGTGTGTCTGTGGGTTATCACTGGTAATGTTTTGGGATTCAATCTGATTGCTTAAGTTAAGTGGAGTGTAGTTAATATCATTCGTTACGATGGCTTTATGAATATTGCTAGTATGGGATTTAGTATAGAAGAATGATTTTAATCGACTAACTTGTTTCCGCCATAGGTGCTGGATATCTATTAGGCCTCTCCCTCCATGTTCTCGTTTTATTGTTAGTCTCTCTATGGCGGATTTAGGGTGCAGGTTGTTGTGTTTCGTGAGTGTTGTACGTGTAGTTCGCTCTAATTGTTCTGCGTCAGTTTTAGACCATTTTATAACTCCGAATGAGTACGTTAATATGGGGATGGCATAGGTGTTAATGGCTTTGATGAGATGTTTACTTGAAAGTTGAGTTTTACAAACGGCGTTAAGTCTTCTCTTGTATTCCATAGTGAGAGAATTTTTAATTCGTATGTGGTCAAGACTTTTAAGTTGGACATACCCTAAATATTTGTATAAGTCAGTCGATTCCATTGCTGTAATAGCCTCCGTTTCATTTACTACATAGTCGCCGGGCCTTACTTTGCCTCTTACAATGTGAAGTGTTTTACATTTATCTAAACCAAAATGCATATTAATATCGCTACTGAATTCTGTTGTTATATCTATTAATTTCTTCATATCCTTGTCTGTTTTTGCATATAATTTGATGTCGTCCATGTATATAAGATGCGATATTGTTGTTTCGTCTGTATTAAGTTTGAGGCAATATCCAGCCCCGCAGCTCTGCAGCAAATGAGACAGAGGGTTTAGGGCGAGACAGAACCACAGTGGGCTCAGGGAGTCACCTTGGTAGATGCCTTTTGTGATTGAGATTTGTCGCGTGGTGACATTATTTTGGTTACAATTTATTTGTAGTGTTGTTTTCCATTGTAACATTATTCGGCGTAAGAAATCGATTATTTTCGGGTTTATTCTATAAATTTCTAATATTTTTAATAACCATGAATGAGGAACACTGTCAAACGCTTTTTTATAATCAATATAGGTGCAATGTAAATTTCTATTTTTAGAGGTGGCGTGTTTATGAATAGTGGAATCAATTATTAGCTGTTCTTTACATCCCATGTGGCCCTGTCTACATCCCTTCTGTTCTTCTGCTATTATATTGTGGTGTTCAATGTGCGACTGAATTTTCTTTGTGATTGCAGATGTCAATATTTTGTAAATTGTGGGTAGGCATGTAATTGGTCGGTATTGGGAAGGCTGAGGTGAATTTTTTGTTTTAGGTAGCATATAAGTAATTCCTGTTGCAATAAATTCGGGAGTGTTCTGTTGTCCTGTTATTATATCTGTTAAACTTCTTGCTAAAGGTTTGTGTAGAGATGTTAATTTTTTGTACCAAAAATTATGAATTTTGTCTATACCAGGTGATTTCCAATTATGTAACCTAGCTGTAATGAGTGTTATGTCTAACTCTGTTACCTCTTCGAATTCCATTTCGTCAATATCTCTCCATTTTGCTTCCTCTTCAATTATCCAAGATGCTTTGTCGTTATGTTGTTTTTGCTCTTCCCAAATACTCGCCCAATATGCTTCTAGTTGTTCTTTTGTAGGTAGGTTAGGTGTATGTGTGTTACGTTCATCGATTGTGTCTGTTTGTGGTTTGTGTAAGTTTCTATAAAACAATTTTTCGTTTGTGGCAAATGTGACGTTATCTTTTTTGCGCTGTTGTGCTTTTTTATACCTTTTGAGCCTATGAACTTTAAGTGCTAATTTTTGTTTTAACGTGTCTAAATATTCTTCAGGTCTTGTGTTACTCTTTTCGTGTCTGGTATGCGTAGCATTATTCCTAAATATGACCTCTACTTTTTTGACTAGTTTATTAGATCTACAACCGTTAATATACTGAGTGAGTCTACCTATATTTGCTCTTAATTTTTCAATGTCTTTTTCTAGTCTCTGTTGCCATGCTGGTTCTGTATTTTGTCTTGTTCTTGTAGTTCTTGCATTGTCTGTGATTTTAAAGTTCAATTCTTCGGATATTACTACCGCTGTGCAGTATATAAGTAAATGTATGTCTATAAGCTGTGTGTCATCAGATATATGTTGTGTGAGTATAGTTTCATTAAATAAATTAACCAGTCGAAACAGGTTAGGTGTGTACTTAAGTTTGGGTAATCTTGGTCGCGCTGCGGGATCCATCCCAGAGTATAACGTTATTGTTGTGCTAAATTTCTCATTGATTTCTTGAATATATGTATCTGTTGTTAAGTGTTGATCTGGGACAACTATGGTCTCAATGTCATTTTCTAGCGTTAGGATTACGGTTTCGGTTTGTGTGGATGTGTGTGATATTTGTGTGCAGATTTGTGAATGGTCGCATGGCTGAGATTGTGTGTGAATAAGTTGTGATTGACTGAGCAATTGTGGTTGTACTTGGCGATCATTTTCACTTGTGTTTTGTGTGATATTAGTTTCTACATAGCTGTTAGTCACTTCTTCTTGAATTAATTGTGTTCGTACTTCTTCTTTTAATTGATTTATAACTTCTTGGGATAGAAGTTTATTCCTAACTATGGTTCTTCTTTGGTCTGAGATTCTTTGTTCTGAAACAGTAATTTCTGGATATTGTCGAGTGAAATGTGCGTGTAATTGTTGTCTGTACGTGGTCATATCGGTCTCTAATTTAGTAATGTATAGATAAGTTCTCATGATAAATAGATTTACTTCTTTACTCCATTTCATTCGAACTCTTGCTTTTCCAGCCTTGGTGGACGCGGGTAAGAAGGTAGATACCTCCCGCGCAGCACTCAAGGTCGGAGTAGGTGGAACTGTATTTAAACTAGTAATAGGGGGTGATGGAGGTGTTGGTGACGATGGTATGGATGGTGATGTTGGCCTCGAGGGTGTGTATGATACTGTGCTTGGACTATATGGTTCTACAGGGGTGTCTGTCCTGTCCGTCAGTCTGTCACCATCGTCAATGAGTTCGGCTGTAGTATCTTTGTGGGTGGGAGCCCGCCTGTTCAACTCCTCACCGCTGACGGATCGCATGCTGTGACACCCAGCGTCAGCTCCAGGTGCACCCCGGCGATCGCCTCCGGGTAGCGGCCCTATACGTTTACTTTTAGAACGAGTCTCCATTTTATTTATGGGTTTCCAGAGCCACGTTAGCCACGCCAGTATTTTCTCATTCGTGTGTCCGCCCCCCAGGTGATTAGATGGTCAATCAGGACGTGTGGTTGTTTAGGGGGCCTGGTTGTTTAGGGGGCTTATTATTATTATTATTATTATTATTATTAAAAATGTCTTACCGGTTCCACCTGGTGCGTCCAAGAAAAAAAAGCCGCCTTGTTCAGCAGCAACAGTCAGCATAATCCGATCATAAATATTTTTTTCTGCTCTCAGTAATGGCTCATTGTTCGCGATAATTGTTGCTAAATTACCGTGGTCATATTGTTTTTTTCGTTGTAAATTGGTGTTTTCTAAGTCGGTGGCTGGGCGATCAGGTGATGGCATACCATAATGATTAAGTGGTAAATTTGAAATCAAAACACATAAATTCTCGATCAATACTAACGCTTCATCATATATTTCTGGCGTATAATTTATGATTTGGCGTTGATCTCTTTGACTAATTCGGTGCAATATGTCTTCTGTCATATAATTTTCATATTTTTCCCACAAATTTTGTGCTTGCGATGGATAACATGTTGTTAAAATAATTGCAAACAGATGACGAATGTAATTGGGCATTGATGTCAACGCAGCATCAGAAGCGTTAAGTCCCAATGGTTATCGTCTTCTAGCAATTGCAGTTCACGACATGCATCTTGGTATGTATTGAATACTCGAACATTAACTGTTCGCAGAAATTTAAAAGACGTTGGTCCGCGAACATTCACCAATAACAAACGTAATTAGAAGCACTCACGTTGCTTTGGATGTACTATGTAAAGTCGCCCCAATGTCTTAGCTTTGAATATGCCTGTAATGGAAGTATGTGGTGTTCCTTGTTTTCGTGGCACACATTTTTTACCGGATTTGTTCCATGTGAAATAACGTGGAACATCAGTATATATCAATGTCTGCGAATTTTCCAAAAATAACAGATTTTTGACACAATGTAAAAAATTCAATTAGAGTCGTTTTTGGAGCCTCAAGTGCTCTTTGGATAACATTTTCTTCAGTGAAGTATACAAGTTGACCATTTTCAAGATGTATTGCTAGATGCTGTACAGTAAGGTCTCTTTCGTGTATGGGAAAGCTGAGAATATGCCAAATAGCTTCGTTGCTGCTAATGCATTCTCCTATTTGTTACTGTGTTATTTCGTCATTTTTATTTATATTTTGTACTTCAAATATGGCCAAATCACTGCCTTTATTTACATACTTACAAATGTACTTTATTGATTTTACAGAACTGCAGAGCTCGACATTAATATGAGCCTTATAAGTTTTTGAAAGTAATGGTGAGTATGGTACCACCCACTGATTATCAAGTTCTACTTGATTTATAAAATTCGGCAGTCGCATTGTGAATCTGTGGCCACTATTTCTGCGGCGATACAATGGATAACCGTCAATATCCGTAATAGTTTCATTCGTATGCGGTTTTGCAAAATGTTTCCTACATTTTCCATTTTTAATGCATGGTGACGTCATGATGAAAGCACCGCACGGCCCGTGTATCAGGTGTTTGGTAACAATATCAAATAATTCTTGATCAATTGATGGGTCTGGAATTTCGGCTGAAATTATTTGATCTATTTCTTGTGGACGGATTTTATCGTGAAGCCATATTAAAATGTGGGCATGAGCCAAAGCTCGCTTTTGCCACTCGATCGAATATATAGCCAACAACGTGTGATACCAAAAACTGAATATTTAACAATGAAATCAATTAAAGATTTCAATTTTTGTTTGAACACACGTGCAGTTATATCCTGTCAAATTCGGATTACATGTAAATGTAATAAACAAATCTGGTCGGCCGTAATGACGTACGTAAGTCATCGCATCTTGTATGTATTCCTGCATATTCCGTGGACTGCCGATGTAGCTTGAAGGCAAAATGAAAGCATTACCGATGTCATTGGGATTTTTTCCGTCGATGTTTCCAACAACAGCATCTCGTAAGTGAATGTATTCTTCTGATCGTAATTTAGCCTGGTTGTATCAAACGAATCGCAAGCGTTCGATTTCAACCTTAGCATACATATTGTAACGCTTCCCCCCTCTCTCATAATAATAAATATATTAAATACTAAATGTATTATATTCCCCTTTACATAATAATTATATATATTTGTGACCAAGATTAATAAAATATGTTTTGATCTTTCTAAAGGTTTAATAATAGGCCGTTTGTAATATTTTTGGCGTGATCGTCTTAGTTAGGACCCTTATTTACGTTGGGTTTGTTTAGTAACTTAGTTCTTTTAGGTGTTTTGTGGAAGAATGAATATTCACTAGAGCAATTGAAAGCTGTTGGTAGTGCCTAATAAGCGAAGTGAACCCCGTTCACGAAGACAGGGCTCGAGAAAGGTTAAGAACATAAAACGTCCCTATTCCACTTGTATCAGTGTGTAATGTAAACACATTATTAATTTATTATTATTTATCCCTTCCCGCTCGGAAAAGGCTCAAAATATATTTATACAAAATACCCGATACACACGGCCCCACACACGCCGTGTACGGTGAGCGCCAACCATTTTGATGAAGGGAACGCTAATTCGGGAACTGGACCGTAGTCCACGGCAAAATAACTGACGAACCAGTAAAAGAGGCTTGGCCCCTTGTTAGTGCGTAAGCACAAACATCGACCGAAGTCGCGCATGTCAATGCGTGTAAACGCCATACAGAATACGAACGAATCCAGCCACAGTGAATGTACGTCACACGGTTTAGGCAAATAGGCACACTGGCCGTAAACCCTCCGTGAGCGCCACCACCTGCCAGACCGCCGCTCCTGCAGACGTGATGTAAGTGTATGGCATCACCAACAATTGCATGATCAGCACGGCTACTAGCCGCAGAGCGTGTCATGAGTCTACCGCTCACCTCAAGGGAATGGGGTCCCACGTTGTGCGGCTTTCGGCCGCAGCCTTGAGAGTCTCCTCAGATCCTCCCGCCAGCTACCACCCGCATGAGGTCGACACATAAGCTCCACCAACCAATACAACGGCAGATATAGCCAAAAGGCAGTTATAAGATAAGAGTAATAATTCGCCATCAGAAATGGTTTGTGTCACTGACGTTGAGTAAATGCATTTTCGATCATGTGTGTCTCGCCCACCAACAAGTTGCCTTCAATCATTCAAAGGTGGGATAGTTACAGAGATATATTATTATGTTGTTATATAAAACATCATGGAGGGCAGACAGTCTGCAGCCCCGTAATGAAGGGACCCGACTTGGGCAAAGCTATTTAGGTGTGAGTCAAACCAAGACGCAGAGAGCGCCATTGAGAATAGCGTCCCACCAAACAACCATCGCAGAGACGCAATGCTGCAGAACGCAACTAGCATCAATACGACTATCGTCGGCTTACACCATCCCAAGGTCCCCCATACAACCCAGCAGACATCACCACCCGCCATACCTGACAGATTAATTGTATACCTCCATCGACCAGAACCACAAGAGTACGTCGAATCAGGCGCAGCACAGCCGCAGATCCATCACAAGACGCAATACCGCAAGTAGCAGTAAGCATCAATGCAACTATCATACGGATGGCGCACCCTCACAACACACCCACATGATCCCTATCGATTTTGGTAACAAAGTTTTTATTGTTGTTATATAAAAAATATCACCAACGTATCACAGTAGCACGCTACTAAGACGCCAATGAACAAAACTCCACGTATCATTTATTTATTCATTTATTTATTTATTTAACAGATACACCATTGGCTTATCACTAGACATTGTTAAATATAACACAATTGGTTTTGTTCAAAATGATTCGCCTTTAAAGGTATGTACAACTTTCACAAAAATAGTGCAACTACAATAAGACAGTTGTTAACTTACTTAACTAGAACAATATCATTAATAAATTTACAAGTAATTTGATTACAATGAAACTAATGCTAAACTTGAAGAAGAGAGAAAGAGTTATAAATACTTATTACATAATCTAGCAAATTTTGATACGTTATCCGTATGGAAAATGTCGACGTCGCCGTTGGTGGTTATGTCGTTATACGTTTGCATTATCTATTTATTGGGGCTCATTTACCTAAATTTGTTCTCTGGTTGGGTAAACAGAAGATTTTGGTAATCGGATGTCTTGGAATAGATCTTGGAACTCTGATACTTAATTGATTTAACAGTGCCAGTGATAGTAGGAGGCCGTGAAAAAGCTTATGAAGTGTTTTAAGATCACTAAGTCGACGCCTTTTTCCGAGAGACTCTAATTTGAAGTGGGATAGCCTAGTATTATAGTCAGCACGGTAAGGACAAGTTTGATCTTTAAAGGCTAAGTAGCGGGTAAAATTGCGCTGGATACGCTCTATTCGATCACTGTGAATTTGGTATGATGGGTTCCAAACAGGTGATGCATATTCTAATGTACTACAAATAAGAGCTTTGTATATAGTGAGAATAGATATAGGGTTCCGCAAATCCTTACATATTTGCTTTACGAATCCTGCCATCTTCCATGCTTTGGATGCAATATTATCAATATGGATGTTGAAATTTAATTTTTTATCGATCATTACGCCAAGGTCACGGACTACTTCGGATTCTGTTAATTTTTCTCCGTCTACAAAATAACTGGAGCGAATAATGTTTCTCCTTCTGGTAATTTTTATAGTATTTTGTTACTTTTGCAACAATCTGAGATAGAGGTGAGATCTGTCTGTAATCTAACTACATCATCTGGAGACTCTATAACCTTATACAATTTTAAGTCATCTGCAAATATTGCGTAATTACTAAAGGAAATGTGAGCAGAAATGTCATTTATAAATACCAAAAAAGAGAACAGGGCCGATATGCGACTCTTGTGGAACGCCTGAAGTTGGATAAAACGAAAAAGACTTGAAACCCTGTATTGTTACTCTTTGAATTCGATTAAATAAGTAGGATTTTATCCAATTCAACAGGTTTCCGTGAATACCATAATAATTTAATTTGGACAAAAGAATGGCGTGGTTAACTTTATCGAACGCGCTACTAAAATCGGTGTATATAGCATCAACCTCTTTATTTTTATCAACGTATCTCGCCAAGTTCGAGGTGTATTCTAGTAGGTTACTAACTGTAGACTTAATTGGGCAAAAACCATGCTGACGATTAGAAATTACCTTTGATAAATGAGAAGACAAAATGGGGCAGAGTATTTATCTAAAAGTTTAGCAAGCAAGCTTAATAAAGAAACAGGACGGTAGTTTTCAATATTGCTTTTGTCACCTTTTTTATAGATGGGTATCACATTGGAAACTTTCCACTCGTCAGGAAATTTTGCAGTTTTAATTGATTTATTGAAAAGCAATTTAAGGTTTACGCACCAACCTCGGCACATCCCGATGAGGAGGTGGAGGAAATGTATGAGGATATTTCCAGAGCCATGCATTCCTCCAAAACCCACTACATGGTGTTGATGTGAGACTTCAACGCAAAACTAGGCACAAGAAAAAGCGGTGAGCTGAAGGTGGGGAAATTTGGAGTAGGGCAACGCAACCGAAGGGGCCAGCAGCTGGCCGACTTTATGGAGAAAGAGGGACTCTTTATGATGAACTCTTTCTTCCAGAAGCGGCCCCACAGGAAGTGGACCTGGTCGAGCCCCGACGGTTCGACAAAAAATGAGATTGACTTCATTATGACGACCAGACGCCAACTGTTCAGTGATGTCTCAGTGATCGCAAGGGTGAAAACCGGCAGCGATCACCGAATGGTTAGAGGCACACTGAACCTAAATGTTAAGTTGGAGAGGTCTCGTCTAATGAAGTCAACGCTCCGTCCCCCTCGTGCTCTAATCCAGAATCCCGAAACCTTTCAGCTCGAGTTACGTAACCGCTTTCAGTGCCTAGAGGATTGCAATGCAGTGGACGATATGAATGACAAGCTCGTGGAAACTGTCCATGCGGTCGGAGCTAAGACCCGCCACAGAAGAACACAAAAACTCTCCGATCATACTCTTAATCTCATGGCTGTTAGACGGGAGATGAGGCTGCAATCGTCAACAGATTTGACAGCATACAGGCAACTGAACAGACAGATCTCCAAATGCATGCGGCGAGACTTACGCAACTTTAATACTGCTCGTATTAAAGAAGCGATCGAGCGGAACCAGGGCTCCAAAGTCTTTGCCAGAGATCTGTCTGCCAGAAAGAGCCAACTGTCAAGGCTGAAGACTGAGTGTGGCAACATCGTTTCCGGGACACCTGAGATTCTGAGTGAGATTGAGAGGTTCTATGGGCAGCTGTACACATCATTGTTGGATCCACACGCAAGTGTGAGTAACGATCCAAGAGCAAGTCTTATCCGACACTATTCCGATGATATCCCGGACGTCAGTCTGAGCGAGATTAGAATGGCTCTCCACCACCTTAAAAACGACAAGGCCCCGGGTGAGGATGGAATTACAGCAGAGCTTCTGAAAGCGGGTGGAACACTGGTACTTGAAGTCCTTCAGAAGCTCTTCAATTCCGTCCTCCATGGTGGCACTACTCCGGAGGCGTGGAGCAGAAGCGTGGTGGTCTTGTTCTTTAAGAAAGGCGACAACTCTCTCTTGAAGAGTTACAGATCGATTTTATTTTGAACCGCGTCTACGTGCTCTTGTCGATAGTCATTACGAATCGCCTCGCATGCAGACTCGACTTCCAGCCTACCGCACGAGTTGGTTTCAAAAAAACTTTAGCACTATAGACCACAAACATACACTTCAGCAAATTGTACAGAAGACCGAGTAGTACAATCTGCTACTATGTCTTGTATATGTAAGCTCTGAGAAAGGCGACAACGCTCTCTTGAAGAACTACAGACCGATTTCCCTTCTGAGCCGCGTCTACGTGCTGTTTTCGAGAGTCATTACGAATCGTCTCGCACGCAGACTCGACGACTTCCAGCCTCCCGAACAAGCCGGTTTCCGAAAAGGCTTCAGTACCATAGACCACATACATACCCTTCGGCAAATTGTACAGAAGTCCGAAGAGTACAATCTGCCACTTTGCCTGGCGTATGTGGACTATGAGAAAGCCTTTGATTCCGTCGAAATTTGGGCGGTGCTACAGTCTCTTCAGCGGTGCCTAGTTGACTGTCGGTATATTGAAGTGCTGAAGTGTTTGTACAGTAAGGCTACGATGGCTATCCGAGTACAGAACATGAGTACGAAACCTATCCAACTGCAGAGAGGTGTAAGACAGGGTGATGTTATATCCCCGAAACTCTTCACCGCTGCGTTGGAAGACGTTTTCAAGCTACTGGACTGGAAAGGATACGGTATTAACATCAATGGCGAGTACATCACTCACCTTCGATTTGCCGACGATATAGTCCTTATGGCAGAATCGCTGGAGGACCTTAGCACTATGCTCAATGACCTCAATGGTGTCTCCTAACGGATAGGACTGAAGATGAACATGGACAAAACAAAGATCATGTTTAATGTCCATGTCACACCTATGCCGGTAGTTGTTGGGAGCACTATGCTCGAAGTTGTTGACGAGTACGTTTACCTGGGACAAATAGTCCGACTAGGTAAGTCCAACTTCGACCGAGAGGTCAATCGACGGATTCAACTCGGCTGGGCAGCGTTCGGGAAATTACGACACATCTTCTCGTCAGGTATACCTCAATCTCTGAAAACTAAAGTGTATAACCAGTGCGTGTTGCCAGTGATGACTTACGGATCTGAGACGTGGTCCTTCACCGCTGGCCGTATGAGGATGCTCAAGGTCGCTCAGCGAGCTATGGAGAGGGCTATGCTCGGAGTTTCACTGCGTGATATCCGCAGTAAAACCAGAGTTACCGACATAGCCCAACGGATTAGTAAGCTGAAGTGGCAATGGGCCAGCCATATAGCTCGAAGTACCGATAACCGATGGGGAAGAAAGGTTCTCGAGTGGCAGCCTCGTACCGGTAGGCGTAGTGTAGATCGACCCCCCACTAGATGGAGTGACGACCTGGTAAGACATGCAGGAAGTCGATGGATGCAGGTGGCTCAGGACCGTGCTTTGTGGCATTACTTGGGGGAGGCCTATGTTCAGCAGTGGACTTGTGAAGCGCTGTAATGATGATGATGATGATGAATTTAAGTGGGAGAGTTAAATATTTATACGTTTTTTTAATAAAGTAGGGTGGGATGCCGTCCGGTCCAGCACCTTTATTCGGGTCAATTGACTTTAATACTTTCTCGACGTCTCGCTCTGTAATTTCAACATTGCTTAGATTTAATTGTGGATAGCAATCTCCAAGATCCGGTTGCGTTGAATTGTCAGGGGGAGAGTAAATCGAATAAAAACGTGTTGCAAAAAGATTACAAATTTCCTCACTACCACGCGCAACCTTGTCTTCCAAATACATCTCAGACGGTAAGTTGGAAAGACCTCCACGTAAGGATTTGACATATGACCAGAATTTTTTTGGGTTTTTAATGAGAGCATATTCAGTGTTTTTTTTAAATATGTATTGTAGCAAGTTGACATTAATGACTACGCGTTTATTAGATAAGATAAGTTCAATCTTGTCTCTAGGATTCCGGTAAATCTTGTATCTTGAACGAATTCTATTTCTTTCGGCTATTAATTTTATAAGGTTTCTTATGAACCAATGTGGATATTTCGAACTACGACGTTTAGTTCTGGGTACAGTTGATTGAATAACATCATATATAAGTTGATAAAATTTTGAAACAGCGATATCAACGTCATCCAGATCCGACAGTTCTTTGACCCAATCGATATGACTTAATTTACTTTTTACTATTGCATAATCAGCTTTTTTGTAATTATACGTTGCAAATTGCTTGTTACGTAATGTTACGTAAATAGTGATACTTATATGAACTGAACCCAATCGACAGAGCTGGATGGTGTGAATCTAATTTGCAGAGTGGATTAATACAATTATCGACTATTATACTGTCTAAGTTACTTAGGATGAGATCTAAGATACGACTGTTATGGTTTGCGACATGATTAAACTGAGACAAATTATTTAACGACATAAAGTCAATCAATAAGTACCCTAAGCTACACTGATAATTTAATGGAGTCAAGTTACAACATCTACTTGACTCTTTATTCCAGTCTATAAATCCAAGGTTGAAATCACCTAAAACAATCACATCACCGGATTGAGATAAAATCACATCACTGCAGTTGTCGATATTATTGGTGGTGGAATGTAAACGGCACCAATTAAAATCGCTTTATCTGTCGATGTATTTACTGATATCCACAAATCCTCTCCAGTGCTTTCATAGTGAAACATTCTCTTCGAGTGGTACTTAATGGAAACGGCGATCAAAACGCCTCCGCCACCTTTTCCGGCTAGGCTGGTTGACTGGCGATCTCCACAGTATACATAATAGTTGCTGCTAAATAGCTCGTCATCGTAAACGCTGTCATCCAACCAGGTTTCAGTCCCAACAATAACATCGTAGTCTCCCAACAAAGTTGCAAGTCTTAAGTCTTTAGTTTTAGTTTTCAGGCCTCTAAAATTTTGGTAATAAATCTTTAAGGTAGCCTAGTAAGTTTTATGCGTTAATCAAATCCCGTTAAAAATGTCCAAGTATTATTATAGTGTGTTTAGGTTATCGTAACACTTTATTTGTTTTGCAAGGGACTGGTCATTTTTTCTAACAAAAATACGGCCGTTACGGATCCAGACGAAATCGTATTGCTTTTCTCGAGCAACTTGACGAGTCCGCGCGTGTAGAGCTTTAAAATACGGCGCTAGATGTTCGGAGACGAAAATAGGCGACTTGCTTTCTATGTATCCCAAATGTCCTGTGTTTAGTTTATTGGATGCGTTCTTTTTATTGAATTGTGTTACCGCTGCTAGTATCTCATCACGAGTTTTTACAGAAGGAAGTTTTATAATAATTGCGCGGGGCCTCTTATTTGAGTCATTCATCTTCCTAACTCTGGTACAGGTAGCTGTTTCGATGAGATCGGTAGGAATAGATACAGTATTGCATATTTGTTTGGCAACATTAATTAAGTTCTCAGTCTTACTTTCCGGAACACCATTCACTTCAATGTTCGTCTCACGCGAGTGTTGCTCAAGTAAAACAAGTCTATTTGATAATTCGTTCACTTTTGTATGTAAGTTGCTGTTTTTAGCGGAAAGCGACTTTATGTGCTCTTCTGACGTTTTCAATTCTTTTTTCATTCTATCATATTCCGCGCTTAAAAATTCGAGCCCGCTTTTGATATCTTTTAAGGAACTTAACTCCTCTTTTATAGTCCTTAAATCCATTTTTATAGATGACTCCTCTATAGCTTGATTTAAAAAATTTCCCATTGATGATTTAATTTCTGATCTAATTGTTAGCATTAAGGATTCATCTCTGGGTTGTGTAGGTGAACTCACCTTCTGCTTACTAGGTAGTTGAGGTTTTTTTACGCTGTGTTATGTAATCATTGTTAGGAGTACTAATTTCCTGCGACGAGTCACCACAGTCGCGCGGGCCCGTTCTGGACTGAATGGGGGTGTTTGAATTGCCACCCCTTCGCTCTTTATTCCTACAACCAGGGCAGATCCATTTCTCTTTCTTGTCTTTCTCCAGCAGCATAAGGCGTTGGTGAGAGATATTAGCGCAAACTGTGTCATATATATCTTTGCAAAGTGAACATGTTACAAAGTCCTTATTAGTTATTTTATTTAAACATCACGCGCACAAATATGTATTTGAAGCCATAGCACCATACATATTTAAAACCCCTGTGTTCATTAGTTGTTGGTTCCTTTAGCGAAACTGTTTTTCGGAGTGCTTTCGCTTAAAGTAAAAAAAAGCAAAGTAAGACGGTCTGACACTAGGAGTACTAGGCGCACTTAGCCTCTCGTCAGTCCAAAACCTTCTAAAGGTTGCTGTCAAAAAGTACGCATCTGTCCACAACCATCAGAAGGTTGCTGTTTACTTATAAACTTCAGATTCGAAACAGCCCTAGTAAAAGTATCTCCCTATAACTAGTACAACATGCAGAGAATTAAACAAAGACGGCAATTAATATCACATACGCTTCATATATGAACCATAGAAGCTTTGAAATAGTAATACATTTATTCCGTTCAGTTGCTCGTTCTGTGACGCGGTGTCGTGTGTTTACGTGCAAAGTATTAATTGTTGAAAGTGATTTCGGAAGTTAATATTAAAGATAAACATGAATGGGTAAGTCATAAATACTTTTTTATTAATTTAAAACATATTAGATGACGATTTGTACATAAATTATTCCATTTTATCAAACATTGCTTGCCATTTCGACCGCCATGTTGATACCATGTTCGTATTAATTTCAATTGTTTTAAATTGAAAGTACAATTGTGAATGCTAAACATTGTTTTAGTATCGTTAACATACATATTTACAAACATAACAATAATTACAATTGTATAGTTTCGATTAAATCTTTCATAAAACTAAAAATAACAAATTGCTTAAATATCGCGTCCACATAGCGGGCGCGGACAGACATGGGTCGTAAAGTTATTGACATGAAATCCGCCATCTTAGAGAGCAGGTTGTATAGTATGGATACGATTTTGGGAATGCCAGTGTTGGTATATTTTTGCGATAATTTTTGGTGTGGATTTTTATTTGTTTTTCTTATTTGTTTTGTTTTATTTTTTGTCAGTAAATTGTTTTACTTTTTGTATGTGCATGTCATTATATTTTTTTGCACTTGATTGACAAGTGAAACAAGACGACCGAGGACTCGCGGTTTTTATAATAACATTCGAATGTTAATTAAAAACATAAAAAAGCAATGAAAAATAACTAATTTGTATTTCATTTTAATTTTATATTCATGATTATAATTATTAAAGAAGTCACCACAGAGCGTATCCATACTAGCATAGCAGCGTACTACGTCATACTTGGTACTTTTTGTAGTGAATGTGTAACTTTTAGTTGTTGATTTCTAACATAATTTTGTATGAAAGATGCCTTCTTTGTTTTGTTTTTAACTTAGGAAATGTTATTAAATTTAGGAATATACATTCACATGTAAATAAATCACAAAATTGTTCCTTACAATTGCAAAAGTTTGAAAGCATTTTTTTAGGGTCACTTTTTCAAGTGTTTGTTACAACTCATTCATTTCTTAATAACTAAATAGTTGTAACATTTGAAACTGTTTATATTAAGAACAAAGACCAAACTATAGAATAAGTTAAGATTTAAAGCCCATTGTGCCTCAGGAGTCGTCGATATTGAAGTACAAAATGTGCCTTTTTTTGTGCCTGTTTCGGTTCATCTTAAGTGGCCCACATTATTGTCGAGCTTGTGGTGTGAAAAAACTGTACGTAGAGTTGTGTTTTTTTTATTCATTATTGTAAAGTGTGTTTTCGTATAGTAAATGAAGTAAATATTTATTGAAATAATTGCTTAATTTTTTAATGATTACATTTTATATTCAACAAACTGGAAAAAAATCGCTTCTAGCAATTTTACCATCGAATTTATAACATACCAAAAGGGTGAACGTACACATTTACATATATTCTATTAGCTTATTTAACAATAATTCTAACAACATATCATATTATATAGTTTCCATACATAAATATTAAGATATTTCCATTTTAATGACACGCGCCACGTAGGCAATATATCACTCGTTTAGGGTTTGACAGATGCGCCTAAGCGGCTATTTTGGCCCGGACTGCTGAGAGGATAAACAAGTATTCTTAAATAAATCAAAATTACTATAATTGCAAAGTAAGAAGGTCTGACGCTTGGAGTAAAGTATCATAGCGCTAATGCACTAAGACATGAAGTTGAGTATGCCTGTTACACTTAAAAGTGCTACCAGACACACTCATCATCCCAATCCGAAAGATAGACGACGCATCGCTATGCGCTACGACGTCGCCCACAAACGGTATGGATGTGCGATGTCCACGGGAAAGCCGTATTGCTGCAACAAACCCGCTTACCACCGGCACTAAGATGTTATTTGTTTACCTTCATCGACCAGAACCACAAGAATGCGTCGAATCAGACGCAGCACACCCGCAGATCCATCACAAGACGCAATACCGCAAGTAGCAGTAAGCAACAATGCAACTATCACACGGATGGCGCACCCTCACAACACACCCACATGACCCCTATCGATTTTGGTAATAAAGTTTTTATTGTTGTTATATAAAAAATATCACCAACGTATCATAGTAGTACGCTACTAAGACGCCAATGAACAAAACTCCACGTATCATAGCGCTGGTGCACTAAGACATGAAGTTGAGTATGCCTGTTACACTTAAACGTGCTACCAAACACACTCATTATCCCAATCCGAAAGATAGACGACGCATCGCTATGCGATACGACGTCGCCCACAAACGGTATGGGTGTGCGATGTCCACGGGAAAGCCGTATTGCTACAACAAACCCGCTTACCACCGGCACTAAGATGTTAATTGTATACCTCCATCGACCAAAACCACAGGAATGCGTCGAATCAGGCGCAGCACACCCGCATATCGATCACAAGACGCAATACCGCAAGTAGCAGTAAGCATCAATGCAACTATCATACGGGTGGCGCTCCCTCACAACACACCCACATGATCCCTATCGATTTTGGTAACAAAGTTTTTATTGTTGTTATATAAAAAATATCACCAACGTATCATAGTAGCAAGCTACTAAGACGCCAATGAACAAAACTCCACGTATCATAGCGCTGATGCACTAAGACATGAAGTTGAGTATGCCTGTTACACTTAAAAGTGCTACCAAAAACACTCATCATCCCAATCCGAAAGATAGACGACGCATCTCTATGCGCTACGACGTCACCCACAAACGGTATGGGTGTGCGATGTCCACGGGAAAGCCGTATTGCTACAACAAACCCGCTTACCACCGGCACTAAGATGATATGTCTAGGACACATCGGTTAGCGAGTCCAAGTTTACCTTGGACCAATTGCTCGTGAAGCAGCACACACGCCACCATAATATTCCATTTCAAGTCCCTAATAAGGACTAGTCTTTTTGCTATAGTACTAGGAGCAGTCGGTCACCCGACCACCCCATACAATTCTTATGCATCAAGGAGACCTTCAATAATAATGCTTTTGTATCATAGACCTTACTTCCATAAGTCATTCATATATAGGGTTCGAACCCACAACCCGACTATTGTAATGCATATTCATCATAGAGACCTTCTATAGTATTGCTTTTGTATCTAAGACCTTACTTTCATAAGTCATTAATATATAGGGTTCGAACCCACGACCTTACTATTGTAAATGCATATTCATCATAGAGACCTTCTATAGTATTGCTTTTGTATCATTGAGTTTATTATCATAAGTCCCTAATATAGGACTAGTCATTGTGCTACAGTACTTCAGGCAGTCGGGCTCTCGACCACCCCATATATATGTACAACATACATGAACACCTTTCATAACTTAGGAAAATTTTCTTTTATACGTGAACTCCTTCCAAGACTTAGACAATTTTTAACAAATTTTCTAATTATCTTATAAATGTTATTTATCTTTATTTTTATAATAGTTTCGACTTGTATTTCTATTATTTATCTTATTTTAAATATTTTTTCAAGTTTTTAATAATTTTATTTATTATGGAAGACAATATTTTGCCTTTAATTTACTATGTTATATTTCGTCGCTTCATTCTTCAGATACAATTAACTTAGGTCCCTTAACCAACTCGAGGAATTCGCACGTTTAGAGAATCGATCTATTTTAAATCGATTTTTTTTTCTGTTGGCAACTCCCACTCTCCATTCACCCACCGGTCCGATATCCACTTCATTCCTTACTGTACATTCACTGTGCGAGGCAACGTTCGCACGTGCCTTTCTTTAAAAGTGAAAATAATTTATATTCTGTGGTTACTATGCCAAAAAGAAAAAATGAAGAAAAAATTAAACGTTATCGAAGCAAAATTAGAAAAATGGAACAGGAGCAGCGAAAATACAAACGAATCATTTATTCATCTTCTGAAAACTCTGATAAAGATTCGGGTTAGTAAAGTTTTATCTCTAAACATTATAAATACTAAATTAAATACAATATTATAAAATAATGTATTTACATTTTACCTGGAGGTTGACCGTGTGTCATCACGAAGGTGATTTTAATACCGAGAGGTTAACCGCGTGTTAACACGAAGGTACTTTGAAATCGTTCGAGAAACGATTTTACAGCTATTTTTATAAAATAATTTTATAATATTCGTATATTAATATTCGAATATAATATCGTATA